AGCGTTCGTGCTCTTATAAGTTGACACTGACAAACCGTGAATCCTATGGCGGTACTTGATGTTGAACAAGCTCTCTAATCTTTAATCTTCTCTCACTATTAGCATTGAGTTTATGCACTCATTCTTCTGATTTACTGTACGTTTGTTTCCTTCAAGAGATTGAATCTAGCTCAGGTTTGCGGATGGCGAGACCTAACTTGGTGTCAAAATTGATGCTTGAGGCTTCTGTTGTGCAGGGGAACGCCTGGCAATTGAATGCAAGTCTCCTGATGGGAACTTTAGGACTCTGGGAAAAGGAGATTTTGATGCCAAAGGGAATTTCGAAGTTAATTTTCTTGAAGCTGATATGAGGGAAAAGGAATGCTATCTGAAGCTCCACAGTTCATCAGGCGCGCCATGTCCGGTACAATTGGCCAAGAGGATCTTGGCCGTGATGCTCAAGTCTATAGATTACCCAAACCAAACCTCAGCCACGACACCGAGGCTTAAATTTTCTTCCAATTCATGCATTGCAGCGATTTCAAGGATGTCCGACGAGGGCAACCCAGTAGAATCTTCTTCTCCGAGACAATCAAAAAATGGAAATATTGAAAGATTGCCACCAACTTTCACAGAATATATTAAGCCTCTCCAACCAACACCCCAGCAGAAACAAAACTTGGCTCGACCACCAGTTTCAGTGTCAAGGAAACTGCTTACCCATCCTATTCAAATTTTCCCACCAATAATTCCTCCTCTTGTTCCAGACATTCATTATCCATTTCCAGCACTTGCTCCTCTTGCTGGAATCCCACTTCCTACACCAGCTCCAACGTATCAGATGCCCCTTCCGCCATCTGCAAACTCACCAGAGCCTGTCATTCAGAAACCATATCCTCCACTGGCTCCAACATATCAGAAGCCCCTGCCTCCATCTTCAGATTCACCAATGCCTATCATTCACAAACCGTATCCTCCACCAGCTCCAAAATTTAAGAAATCATCTCCACCGCCTCTACCAGTTGAAAAACCAAATGATCCAGCTAACCCTCCCATTTTTATTTCTCCAGCATCACTTCCTCAACCAAATCCATCGCATGAGCAGGCACCATCACCCTTATCTTATGTACGGCCTTCCCCATCATCGGCTACGCCCAGCAATTCATTTTCTCCAATTCCAAGAGCTCCCCCAATACCCGCACTTCCCCCTATTCCCACTGTTCCGAGGAGGTATTTCAACTTACCCAAGTCCGGGCACAAATCTCCAACTCCTCCTACCAAATCTCATTCCTAATGTTCCAGAATTTATAGTCCAAAAATATAAGGCTTTCTATTCCATGCATGTTGAGTACTTTTTTTTTTTTTTTGGGTGTATCCTATAGTAACAAGGAGAACTGGTGAGAAAGTATCAAAATCTGTACCGTCTGTGTCACTAAGAAACAGTCGTGTCATTGTCGGTGTTGTTGAGCATTCAAAATTCAGAGCAATGTGCAAGTAGTGTAAATTTTCATCGTTGGAAAATAATACACTCCGACTCATTTTTGAGTAACGCTTAATTAACAAAGCGAGATCATAAACAGGAGACAAGCACTTCAACATTTGGTGCAAATATAGTAGGCTTTCAAAACTTGAAAAAAAAAAAAAGAAAAAGAAAAAAGTGGCACTTCGTTTACCGATTTGAATCCATCACCTAGCCAATGACGGAGCCAAGGGGGCTCAGGGGCCATGGCTCCCCTGTGTAAATGTATGTGTAAAACAAAGTTAATTACCCTAATTTTTATAATTTTAATTTATATTATGAGAGTTTATATGTTTTGTGTGTGTGTATGAATTATCCACCTTTAAATTAATTTTTTTCAGAAAAGTTATTTATTTTTTATTATGCTAATTATTTAACTTTCAAAAAATTAAATATACAATTTGATAATTTATAGTAAATTGACCCAATATGATATATTCTAACAAAAAGACCCAATTCATAATTATCAATGGGCTAAAACAAAAATAATTATTTTATTGACCCATATACAAATATACAGTTTAACCCAGTTGATTATACTTGTTCTTACTCTTTCTGTGTCAACTGCAACTACAGATTGGGCATTTTCAATTATGAAGATAATTAAAATAAAGCTCCAAAATAAGTTGAAAAATAATTTCTTAAATGATTATCTAACTGTGTACATAAAAAAGGAAGTTGTTAGAAAATTTAGCACTTATTCAATCATAAATAAATTTAGTTCTATGAAAAAACATAATCCTTAATTTACTTTTAAAAAAAGATGTTGAAATTTTAAGATATGTTAACATCACTTTTATCTTTTTTAAATTGAAAATAGTTATATTTTTCTTCATAGGTGACATGTTGGACCATTTTCTCATGATGTGCAACTTGAGTGGTCTGTGATGTTCTAAGATATTTAATCAAAGATTATTTTTTGTCTTAATTTTCATTATACTATGATGCATATTTATAAAATAGATATACTTTTATAATTAAAGTTAGTATTTGATATTTTTAGAAATCATATATTTAAATAGATGAAAATTATCTTGAACATAACATATTGATCTAATTTTGTTAGAAAAAATTTTGACCCCTCAAAAAAAAAAAATCCTGACTCTGTCACTGCACCCAGCTAATTCCAATTCAGCAATCAAGTTTAAAAACTGGAAGGAAATTCTAGTCGTAAAAAGAACAAGAACACTAAACCTATTGAATGATTCGATTTGAGCAGTATAGGAACACAATGGTCCGTACTAGGGGTACAAACGAGCTGAATTGAGTCGAGTTTTGGTCTAATCAAACCGAGCCTCCAATTAATTTTATGAAATTCAAACTCGAACTCGAGGTCGAGTTAGAGCTTAAAAAAATTATTATTATTTTATTTAAAAAAATAATAAACAATTATTTTATTTTAAAAAATAAATAAAATAATAAATTTTCTTAATAAATAATAAAATATTATGAATATGTATGTAATTTTACTATTAAAATAAAAAATAAAACGAGCTCAATGTTTTTAAACTCAAGCTCGAGCTCGATATTGACCGAGCTCGTATTCGAGCTGCTGATTCGTTTGCAGCCTTTGTCTGTACACCGTGGAAGCGCGGGCCGATAGCTAGTTTTGGGAGGCCATAAATGCTAGGGATAATTTTAGAAATCTCCTCTAAATTTTTGACAATTTTACTAGTCTCCCATAAAGTTTGCAAAATTACCCAAACCTCTTTTGAAGTTAAGATTTTGATAACAAAATTAATCCAATTAAAAAAATGAACATTAAAAAAGTACTTTAAAAAGAGATATAAAACTTGTATTTCATAAATACCTATTATGCATGTATATAAATTGTATTAGTAAAAGAATAAAAATAATTGAAAGTTAAAAACAAATAATACACACATTTTACCATTCAAAAAGTTCACATTTAATAAATTAGACAACATAAACAAACAACAAAATTACACTAATAATTACAAGAATCAGTAAAACAAATTAGTCATCTCTTTTAATGTGATGTTTGTTATGATTCTTGTGATTTCGAACAAAAATACTTTCACGAAATTACTTTACAACTGTCACAATTTTAACAGTTTCAAAGAAAATGCCCTCATGAATAACCTTCTTTTGCCTTGTATTTTTCTCTTCTACCAAAACCCTTCTTCTCATATTGTGTACAATTGATTTATTGTCATTGTCAAGTTCTACTAATTACAAAATAGCGTCATTAGGTATATTACTTGATGTTATCTTGTAATTACAAGTCATCATTCATAATTAAAGAAATTTTCAACAGTTATTTCAGTTAATTAGTTACTAATAGCTAATTATTATTCTAATTACTTAATCGTTAGATATTAGTAAATGAGAAACTGGGGAAAAGAAAGGTAAAATTTGAAAATTTTTTCTGTTTAATATCACAAGAATCGTAGCAAATATAATATCAAAAGAGATGAACAGTTTGTTTTGCTGAATCTTATGATCATTAGAGTAGTCTTGTTACTTGTTTATATTATCTAATTCATTAAACGTGAGTTTTTTGAGTAATAAAATGTGTGTATTAATTGTTTTCGACTTTTAATTATTTTCGTTCTTTTACTAATACAACTTGTATACATGCATAAGGTGTATTTATGAAATAAAAGTTTCAACGCTCTTCTTAAAGTATTTTTTTAAAGTTATTTTTCGAATTGGACTAATTTTGTTATCAAAATCTTAAGTTTATGGGAAGTTTGTGTAATTTTACAAACTTTAGGAGAGGCCAGGAAAATTGTGAGAGTCCTCAGCTGAGTTTTCTGAAATTATCCCTAAATGCTATGCTTGTCTGTTCCCTTCACCTGACTCGAGACTCCAATCAAAGACTGACGTCTCAGACAAAACAGGGATGAGGAATCCGCCGAAAATAAAGAGCATGAGCGAAAAAAACACACAATCTGGGGTGTTACTAATGATACAATCAGAGTCTTGGGTGGCTGCTTGGCAATGTATGAAGATGGACCCAGTTTGGCAGTAGTCCCAATTTATGCAGTGCGAGCCAGTGCAACACAAGAATTTATTAGTATTACACATCAAAGCAGATTACCCATCCATCGTTTTCTTGTTCTTCATTGGTTATTCATTAAATCCACAGTCGGTAATTGCTGGATTTTAGAATCTACATTTGTTTTGCTATTCCAGTCTCTTACTATTGTCTTGACTTGAGGACTCTCTGGCGCTCAGAAACTAGCAAATACTACGTAAAGCAGAAGAGTTTGGCCTTGCAACTGATCAGTTTCACGCAAAGGAGCGGTGAGAGCAGGGCATGGGCGTGGTTGTTAATGCTGTCTCCAGCTCGCGTTTTTTTAAGAGGGCACGTAAAGGCGCAGTTACTCCTCTCAGACCCGGGGTTGAAACTCTTGCGCTTTCATAAGATGTGCTTAAGGGAGCGTAATCTTCAAACGATGTCGTATAGATGGTCCTCACAGCAACTGAATTTTCTGTTTTGCTAGTCCACTTTACTTCGCTAGTTCACTCTACTTCTTTCTGCACTCCCTCATCAGTCATCGAGCAAAAGTGCGCGGGCTCCCTTCCTTTTTCTTTTTCTTTTTCTTTTCCATAAACCTCCGTAGGGTTTCAAAATCCGAATTCAACAATGGCAGCAACTGCAAATGCGAGTGAGCGTGAAGCTCCCAACGCCGTTAGAGCCCTAGATGCCTCGCTCTGGTGGGATTCCTTCAGTCACCTACTCACGGAGCTCGAAGACGTTTCCCTTTCCTCCGACCTCCCTCCTTCTCTGGTAAACTTCACCTACACTGCACCTGTGTTTTTCTTCCATATCGTTTTTCTCTAATGTTGACCGATTTTAATTACTTTTCCAATTCTCAGGAGAAGAAATTGAAGGACAATCATGCGTGGTTTTTGGAAACTGTTAGAATGTTTAAGCCACCGGACCAGAAATCAAGGGAAGCGTTAGCACTGGATTCCAAACAATTAAAGCTAGGTTCGCATCAATTGACCATTCAACCTGCTCTCAGAGATGCCGCCCTCAAAATTAGCTCTCTACTGGTAAATTTTCCGTTTTCTTTTTTCTTTTGCCGCAGCTTTTCGGGCAATTTTTGTTGGTTCTGGACGACATTTTCCGTATTATGCTTATGATTATTATTATCAGAGAAAAGTGATAAAGGGAACACTTTAGGCCTAGAATGATTTCCTGACGGGCGTATTACGTGCATTTGTTATAGAAGAGTCACAACCTCCAATGGGGTGAAATTTTGTCAGAATTACATTCTTGTAAACACGTTCTTTCTTATCAGTACTTCTGTTTGTGGCTAGAAAAGTTCAGCCTAGCTATTGTGCAAGGTTGGAAAAAAGAGAATGGAGAGTAAAATGTGCTAGAGTCAACAATGCTTACCTGATTCAACTGGAGAAAACCTTCGTAATACATGTTAACTTTATCAGACCCGGAATTTTGTTTCTGTTTTTGTTTCAGTGCTTAAACGAGGTGCAGTCGTATGTTCTTGTTGAAAGATCAGTTGAGCATAATTCCCTATCAATTGATTCCATGCTTGGCGACCTCCTTCACTTGGTTGGTAGCTGTATCCTGTGGTGCTATCCGGGCTGTCTTTCCATTTCTTGTTTAAATAATCTTGCTTTAGACTGCAGTTCTCTAGCTCACTGCGCTGGTGCTGAGTGCTGCATTCGAAGCTTGATAAATTTGAATACCAAAAATTACATAAGATTAGTACTCATTACAGTGTTAATTGTTTTCATGAAGGTAATGGTTCAGTATTACATTGAGCGACAATGTTTATTGAAGTGTACAAGGCAGATACTTATGCATGCTTGTAAGTCTATCATGTGCTATATGGATTCATAATGCTTTTGGCAATCCCTTCTCTTCTCTACTGACGAATAGTTTGTATATGGTGTGTATTGTGGTTATCTTTTGGGTAATCAGGAATGTACTTTGTGCTTCCAGCCTTCCATAGTCTGGTTGACTAGTTTGGAAATGAAACCAATTGTTATTGCATGCAGTACCATTTTATACGAAAAGGATCAATTCACTTGGTATCCAAAGAAGTTAATTTTTTTTGCCTGCAATTTTACCTTCTTAGAGTTTATCATTCTGATACTTTGAGAAATCTTTTGAGAATCATAGCAATGGGAATTGTATTTCTCTGGCTGAGAGTCTGTTTCTCAATATATGAAAGCTTTGGTGCAATCAACACCCAAGCAACTTGCTTTCTCTAGAGTAAAGTGACTCATCATATGTGAAATATATATTTGTATAGTTTACTTTCCTTCTTTTTAAGTCCCATAAACCCCTATCATATTACTACACTGAATTGTGAACCACAATAACTATGTTATTGAATGTTTCAATATTAGTCTAGATGAATTATAAATAAAGAAAGCAACCAAGTTTCTTTGTGCACTCGAAAATGGTCTTTTCAACTTGGCAACCTCCCTTTAATTAATTAAAGAACTAGAAGCATTGTTCTGGAGGAGAAACCATTGAGGTTATTTCTCATGGAGCTAGTAGTTTCCTGGAATCTGTAGTAATAAATTTAATAGGAGCTTCCACTTATATTCTTGATGTTGTAAAGTGTTAGGAAAAAGTTATGCCAAAAGAGCAACTTGGTGCTAGAGATGATATAACCTTGTGTTTGAATGGTTAGAACCCCTCTTTCTGTTGCTTACAAGATATTGATTCGTTGTGGAAATAGGTTGTTAGAATGTGTTCTTGGATAAATTGCATAGGATGGTTGATATTTGGAGTGCTGGTCAGGATATTTGTACATAAGCGTTTTTAATAACAAAGTCAGAATTGAATTAGTATGATAAAATTGAGTTGGAACCCTGTGGAACCTCTGATACTGGGAATTTGCACCGAATGAGATTGCTAGATGGCTTTTATACTGATTTGTAAATTGAACTGGAATACAGAAATAGCCTGAATGACATTTTCTTAATCTGTTGACTTCTATGGCCTGACATGTTCCATTTTGTCTTTTTGGCTCTGGCTTTCCTTAAGTATTAACCCAAAAAAAGGCCTTAAAATGAGCCTAACATCCATGCTGCTGCTTACCTTTAAGCTCGAAGGAGAAATCTGTAGGGTGTAATGAAATTCTTGTCCGTTGGCCAACTGATTATTGGTCCATTTCATCTGTTTCTGTTGATGATGTACTGTGATGTACTTTGCAGCATGTGATGCTATTGTGCAGTAATTGATTATACCTGGTGCCCCCCCCCCTCCCCCAAAAAAAAAAAAAATCTTCAGAGTACCTATAGAAGAATGATTTTTCTTTTGGTTTTGATTGGAAACTTAGTTCTTGACTGGGTAATTCTGGCTGTCTATCATTTTTGCTCTTTGGGGTGGGTGTGGTTTGGCACTAAGTGGAGTTTGTTCACACCTGCTAATGCTGCCTGTTATGCAGTGTTTGTTAGATCCAGATCGAAAGAAGCTCATGCTGTATGGACAGAGGCTCAAAAGTTGGTTTCTGATGGATTGGAAGACAGGTCGCTTTCTATTCTAGAGGACCATTTGTGTTCCAATTATCCTGAACATGTGGTGAGATTAATTTCAAGTTTGATTAGCTAACTTCTGTTTTTATTTCATTATGCACGCATTTCACTGTTATTGATTCATCTTGTTTATTTTTTCCTTTATATTTCACGTTGGTGTTTTGACTTGATCATGCATGTGGGGACTGTTTTGCAGGATGTTGACCTTTACACATTATGGGCTGAGGAGACACTGATTGAAGACAATCTGGTTTTGGACATATTATTCCTTGCTTACTATGAGTGCTTTTCTGCTTGCAATGGCAAGCAATGGAAAAAGTTACTCTTGCTGTATGAGGTATGCCAGTATGTTTCTAACTATACTTTTCTTGAGTTCAGCTTTCATGTTGGTTACCATACTGCAGGGTGCCATTTCTGGTTCTTTCAATTTTGCGAAACTGGCAATATCAGCAGAGGCAGCTCGCTTGATTTATTATGCCAAAGTGCAGCTTTTGCTTATTCTGATAGAAACTCTGGACTTGGAAAATCTTCTCCAAATGATCCATGATGAAATTCCATTTAGGTTTGTAGTATCTGCTTATTTCCCTTATTGTACACGTATAAGAATAAACAGCAAGGTTTCCTTTTTAGTTGTGGAATTTATCTTCCAAACATGCTAAACTTCTGACACTAGGCAAGATCGTGAGAGAAAAATGTATATAACCTCGTGAAGCATAGAATTTGGTTGTCCCTCTTCATGTTATTTACTTCATTTCTTCTTGCTTGATCTGTTTTTCTTTGCTGAGATATATTTGTCTTGGGGACCTCTCATTATGCACTTAGAATTGATATATTTTGAATACAATAATAATAATTTTGAATTTTACTATTGTTTCTCAGGCAGGATTCTGTAGATTTTTCCTTGGATGATATTCAAGAAATTGATGCAATAGTTTCTGGTATAGATGTTTCTCAAACAAGAGAAGCTGGCCCTTTAATTCTAGCATGGGCAGTGTTTCTTTGTCTCATTTCATCTCTTCCACCAAAGGAAGACAACAATGTGTTGATGGTACATTCGATAGCTTGAATTTGTTAGGTTTTCATGTTTGAATATCAATATAAGTACTGCAAGTTGATATTAGGAATGATATTTCAGGAGATGGACCATGTTAATTATGTCCGTCAAGCAATTGAGGCTGCTTCTTTGAGTTATTTTGTTCAAATTTTGGACAGTGATATATGGAAGGAGTTAGATGTGAGTTTCTTCTTTATGCTGTAATTAAATTCTTAGCGGTGCACAGATGTTTGTGGTGCACTTGTTTGTTGATTTAATGGTAACTTTTTGCTTATTGATGTGCTGTACTTTCATTGTGCAAATGTTCCTTTGTCAGGGTCCTGTTGCTGGTTATCGAAGTGTTTTGAGGACATTTATATCTGCTTTTGTTGCATCATATGAGATAAATCTTCAGGTGTTGGTTGTACAGATCTTGGTCTAGCCTATTGTAGTAGCATATGTCTTCTTTATAATCCTACTTTTTCTTTGATACAGTTGGAGGATAATAACCTGAGATTAATACTGGACATCCTTTGCAAAATCTATCGAGGAGAGGTTTGTATGTGCCATCATTGTGAGCAGTGAATCATTTATTTGTTACTTGATTATTGGTTCTGCTTGTGGATGATTTATTGGAAGCCATTCATCTGATGATGCAGGAATCACTCTGTAATCAGTTTTGGGACAGGGATAGTTTTGTTGATGGACCCATACGGTGTCTCCTGTGCAACTTGGAGGGTGAATTTCCAGTCAGGACTGTGGAATTCTTGCGACTGTTATCGGCCCTCAGTGAAGGAGCTTGGCCAGCTGAGTGTGTGTGAGTGGAATTTCCAGTGTTTAACTTAAAAGCATATATGTTTGAAATTGCTCGCATGACTCATATTTTTATGTTTTGACTAGTAGCTTATTGATATTGGTTAGAATATTTTGTCAAGTATTTGCTTTTTTGTGAGAGCAACATGTGGACTTTGGAATTTTCGTATTGTATTTAGACTTAGTGGACATTCAGTTTGATTTGATAATTGCAATGATATTCTCTTTACTTTTGGATGGGAAACGCTATAGGTAGAGGAAGTGTGCCTAAAAGTAAAAACCATAGGAATATATGTGTCACAACAATTATCAGTATTCGCTGCTTTTAGGTTATACAATGCCAGTTGAGAGTGAAGACACATTTTGTGTTTATTCCCTGAAAGAATTAAATCCAAAAAAATTTGTTGATATATTTACTTGCTTCTGGTTGAAGCATGAGATTTGAGACAACTTAACTTCAAAAAGTAAACAAGTGGCAATGGGGATTTTATTATATCTACTCTTAATTTTGGTAACTGCCACCGAACAACTATCACTAGGAGTTTGTCAAGAAAGATGTTTATCTTTTTATGTGGAGATAGTTAACAGGGTGGTTCTTCTTCCAGCTTCTGGCAAAGCATTTCTTCATCAGTATACATGTCCAATTATCCTGATATAATGAGCTCATAGTTATAATTCCCCTTTTCAGTCTTTTTATTTGGAGAAAGTTAACAGGGTGGTTGTTCTTTCAGCTTCTGGCAAAGCATTTCTTCATCAGTACACATGTCCAATTATCCTGATATAATGGGCTCATAGTTAGAATACCCTTTTCAGTCCATGTTCATGAGCAAGTTAATGGCATGTGATAACCTCATAGCACGTGCATGTGGGTTAATGTTTCTATTATTTTGCTTGCTAATTGTGTATCTTTTGCCACCTCCTGACAGATATAATTTTCTTGAAAAGTCCGTTGGGTTATCATCTCTATTTGAGATAAGTAGTGATTCTCTGGTGGATGGCACCTCTAAGACTGTAGAAACACATCTACCTTTGCGTGTTCCTGGTGTTGAAGGTTTGATCATTCCTAATGGTACCCGAGGTCAGGTTATAAGAATGATTGACAGGAACGTTGCTCTGGTGCGATGGGAGGTAAATTTTGAATTGTTGTTTTCCCCCCTCCACTTCCTCTTTTTACGGCATTCTTCTGTTCTATTGCAACCCTTTGTGTTTTTTCCCTCTAATCTTGAAATTTGTCTAAATTAGTCTGCAATTTGATTTTGATTGATTTTCGGTGATTGTATGCACATTCTCCATGTTAATCTCAATTTTCTCACATATCTTCTTGCTATTTTGAATTTACTGCACTGTAGGTTTTGGTGGAAAGTTTTTATTACTCTCTTTGTTTGGAAATGGATGTCCTATTTTTCTCTTTTTAGCTGAGACAAAAGTATGTTCATGTCCTCAAGTTTAAAGTTCTGAATGTAAAGTAATACTTTCTCAGCACTTTATACACTATAAATGTCCCCACCTGTTCCACATTTTCTTAAATTTATTTTAGGTACCATAGATGTCCAGTAAGTTTCAAGCTTTTTGCCAAATAACCATGCATCATGACCAACTAGCGTTGTTTCACTGTGTAGTAAGTTTGTAATATAGTAGTCTAGAGATTACTTTTTATTATCTTCTGCAACATGGTAACCTATAGACTAATGCTTTTCTCCCTAGGAATTTGATGTTAGCAAAAACAGGAAACAGAACAAAAAGCATCCTGCTCCTTTTTCCTTCAGGAACTGAAAATTGTGTATTGCCTTATTTTCATATAAAATTTACTGCAAAATCACCCAACAAGCTTTAAGGTCACCATTTTCCTGTTTCTAATTATTTTTCTAGGATGGTGGCCCATCGTCACATAATTAAGTAGTTACTTTTTCTGTGTACTACAGTTGGCAGACATTATTAGGAACAAAAGTCAGATGATGTTAGAACTTAAATAGGATGTAGAAAAGAACCACAGAACCTGAAGATTGTGTCCTGTTAATGGTAGTTGGGTTGCTCTCTTCCTCCCCCCCCCTTCCCCCCCAGGCGTGTAGTGCTAGTGCCTTCATATCCCTATATATTCTCTGTGTATTCCTCACAGATGGCTTGTTTTCTGCAGTATGCGCAATCTGGGGTGGTAGTTCTACTTTATCATATGGCCCAAGAACTGTTTATTCAAAACAGCGAGGAAGTTCTGGTTATACTTGACTTGCTTAGTCGACTGGTGACATTTAGCTTGGTAATGATTCTGTAGGATATTTATTCATGAATTCATTGCCAGACTCTTTCTTGTTAGGCTTATATACATTATTTGGATTGGTAGCATCTTTTCATGCTGCTTGCATGAACTACTGAACTTATTCTAGCTCTTACGCTCTTCAATACGAATATGTAGTTCTGATGGTCAATATTCATTGTGCAAAATCATCCATTTTAGGTTTACTGCATTAGAGTTTAGCCATGTAAATACCTTATTGTTATCTAACATCAAACAACTGAATTATTAATCTGTAGATATACCAGTTTTAAACTAGTAACTATTTGAGCATTAAATGGAGAAAAGTTATGTGGATTACTCTGTTGCCTCTGAAAAAGTTCTTGTCTTGCAAACACCTTTTAGATGAATACAAAGCTTTTTGGTACCTTGTGGCGTTTTGGTCATGAACTTGAAAGATTGTCAATGTTGGGAGTCCTGATACAGTGTTAATTCCTTCGTAAGGTCACAATGTAAGAAACTGTATAAATTGGTTCTGGGGCAATCCTTATTGTTTGCAGTCTCTCTGTCTTCAGTCTTGGGCATGCAAGAATGCTTTCTTAGACGAGGTGACTTATAAATTTTGATGGCCTGGTGTTTTTCAGTTCATTCCTTCCCATCCTTTACTCTAATGCTTTCATGTGCTTGGCCAGTGAAACTTTAGCTTGCAAATAGGAGGTAGCAAGATTTCAAAAATAATTTATTTCCTCTCTAACAATTTAAGCTTTTAAATCAGAGGTTAGTTCATCTATGATTTTCTTACAGTTATTTCCAGATCTTGGTATCTTGTTGTTGCCTTCTCCTGTTTTCTTAGTCCTTTTTTTCATCAGCAAAAAATGCTGTAAGCACTTTATCGACCTGCATTCCTTTTAGGTGCCTTTGTTGTTCGCTTTTCCATCTATGATTCGGGACACTGTGATACATCAACTTGCGCTGTAAATGGTTTAGTGCACGTATCTGATTAGTATAAGTTGTTTAATCTACTTTTCCTATTTGACTCTTACTATAAATGTCTGGATATGTAGTCTGTATGCAATGCTCTTGTGCTTAGTGGCAAGCCCTCGTGTGAACCAACGCCATTGGAAGAGCAGCAAGAGCATTATGAGTGGTATTCAACTGCACTTCAATGTTTCTCTATGCTAGTTTGTTAACTGTGATCTGTTTCTTAGTAGCACTCCTTGTTTGTCTTTGACAAGGATTCCTTTGCTCTTAATGCAGTCTTAATGTGGTTGAGATGCTATGTACTTTGGTGAAGAATCTACCTCCGACTTGCTATGGAGCTGCACTTATGTCAATGAGTATTAATATCTTGGCAAAGATGTTAAAATGGTGATGATACTTACTCCCTTTGGCTTCTTTTTCATTAATAAATGTCATGCCAATGGAATTGCTCATAAGAAAAATTTTTCCTGTGGTCTTTTTCTTATTGATGTTCTTTTACCAGTTAATTGCTGTAAAATTGTACTTGTTTTTTTTTTATTTTCTTGTCAATGGGCTTGGATTTAATTCTTTTGGAAACAAAAGTACATTTATATTTTCAGAAAGTCTCCCTTGAATTTTGTTAATTCCGAGAGGATAGTTCTTTGAAATGGGGGAGGATCCTGGTCTTCTCGTCATTGCGAAATTCTTGAATTCGATTATGAGATCCGCAGTTACAAGATGTCATTCTCTCTAGTATTTTTGGCACATGCCTTTCTGGTTTACTCAAATTCATAGGCTTTCCCTTAAGTTTTCAATACCACAGTAGCTTTGTTCAATGTTCAGTCAACCACCATTCTTTGGATTTGCAATGCACCTTGAATATATGTAAAATAGTAATGGAAGGTAAAGGGTAACAAGTGTTGTTGAGTCATTCAAAGATGCTGTTGATTTCTCTATTTTGTCAACTTCTTGTTTTAATGCTTCTCCTCCAATGTTTTCTTGCAGCTCTCCATATTGTGTTGCCACAATGACAGCCAAGGCAAATATTTTTGATGTTGCCTCGAGGACGAATCCTTTTCATACTATATCCAGTGGGTTATCTAGGTGAATTTTGCATAATAATTCATTAGTCCCAAAAGTAAATATGAAAAAAAAAAAGCCTCTTTCTCATTTGTATCTGTAACGTGAATTAATCTGCATAAAAGACAATAACATTTAAAGCAGGTCACTTTTTGAATTTGACTCTAGAAATCATTTAATTTGGTGCTACATTTGAAATAATTTTGTGTTCAAATATTTTAACATTGAGAGAAAATGTGATGAATTCATTTTGGTTGAGATGTACCTCTTTCTAAATAAAATTCCAGGTTCCAAATGCTTTCTTAAAGAGTCATGTGGCATTAAATGTTTTCTTTACATCACTCTACTTCTGTCCTCTTTCCTTTTTCTTTTTCATCTTATTTCTTCTGCAACACCTTATGTTCAATGCTACTTTCCCCCAGGGACAGTGCCAGTTTCCATTTCGGCTTGTTTTAAAGTAAAAATACTGGTTCTGGATGCTTTTGTTTCTGAAAGTGCCTTATTGACTCCTTAACTATGATGAAACAATGGCTGCACTTCTTAGGTGGCTAGACACCATTTGTATTCCTTTTTTAGGGGGAACACCACCATCAAGCTTTCTTTGCCCCAAAATGCTATGCTCTTGCTATGAAGTTTAAGTTTTCTATTAGAGAAGAGGTTTGAACTTAAAATTAGAAATTACTCTTTGAGAGGCTGAAAAATGAAAACTCGAATTGTTGATTTTGCTTATTTCTGCACAATCAAATAGACTGAAGGGCTAACTGAAATTGATTTACCACAAAAAGTCTAATAAATTGTTTTAGTGTGTGACTATAGTGAATCAAGTGTGAACAGCTATATTCTCTGCTAGCAACATTCTATTAAGCTATTTTTGTTTGTAAATGTTTTTTTGCTTAGTTGAAGGTCTTGATTTAAATATATTTTGTTGGATGTGAACAAGTTATTTTGATTCAAGCTTGCTTGGATTTTTCTCTGTTGATCATTCGGAGGAGTTTTGTCCTCCTCTGCACCTTTTTGTGTGCATATGCTGGCATGTGAATTTTTCCTTGTACCTTGATGCGGATGGGTGGCTGGGGAAAAAGAAGGTTGTTCTGTTGAGGAAATCTCGTAGCTCCAATTTTCATGAATGATCAGTGTGATCGTGATTCATGATTGACTGTAAACATATTACTTTGATTTACCTTTCTTTTTGATGTTCCAGTGAACCATGGTTGCTTTCTGGAAAGCTTGCCAAAATGCTTTTGATTGACTGTGAGCAGAATGATTGTTCATTGACTCTTTCAGGCTAGTCATATTCTAAACTTCTTCCAAGTTTTCATGCTATGTTGTATAATTTGGTCCATGTGCTTTTAGTATGTCTTAAGCTGATACCTTGTCTTTATTGATTTTGCGCTTTAATGCATTATTTACGCTCCTGACTTGTATATTTTCAATTATCAATCTTTTTCTTCTAAAGATATTCTATCTGGGAGGATTTATAATATAATGACACATTATGACTTTTCTGATGTCACCATTTGCGAACCATTTGTACTGAAATTTCATCTTGGATTTTTTATGGGGAAGGCTGTTTGAAACTGCAAATGTGAAGTTATCTTAAAATGGGGCCACAGAATCCTATTGGTTTTGCTCCATGCGAGTGTCATGGTTGCTACTGCAGCTTACTATGCTTCCTTCTTGTCCTAGAGGCTCTTCAACTGCATTTAAGTGTCAAAATATAGCAATAACAAATTTTTTTCAAAAAGCCTTCATTTATCTTCTGCATTGCCTTGGGGCTTCCAAAATTATAGTTGTTGTTTGTTCTGTATTTCGGACTCAATGTACTTGTTAACATGTATTTTTGCTGATTATCTCATAATGTTTGATTTGTAGTACTTATCTCTTGCATTCTTTGACATGGTTGGTTACTTTCCAGTGTTGGATTTCACCATTCAGCTGGTCGAAACAGGATTTGAAAGTGATGTTGTGCTTGCACTTGTTGTTTTCTCCCTTCAGTATGTTCTTATCAATCATGATATTTGGACCTATAAGATGAAGCATACTCGCTGGAAGGTGACACTGAAGGTATTGCTTTTGCTTTTACAAGAAACAATTACTTATGGAACTAAATTGAGGCTGACAAGATCTTATAGGACTGCTAATGGAGATTCTTTTTGGAGTCAAATTTAATTGTAACTCTTAGGCTTGGCAACTTTGGTTTGGTTTCATTTTTTGTTTTTTGGGAATGCCAATTCATATCTTGGTTGCGTCCTGTTCTTAGGATGAGATCAAGAATTTATGTCTTATTCAGGAGAATGCACAAATCAGTCATACAAGTATACTTTAGTTTACATTGACTTGTTAGTTTCAATGGTGTCGTTGCGTCTTTGGCACTTCATATGCAAATAACAGTTTAAGCTCCAATCTCATTTTATTTGTTAATCTTGATAAGGAAAGTATTGCATCAGGAAAGCTGAATCTCACACCTGATCAACTGCCATCTATTTTTGGCAAAATATACATATTATAATTTTCATTGCTTGTTGAATTCATGTTGAGCTTAATTTCTACCTTGTCTTCCCTGGAGTATCCTTTTTTGTTATCTTTGCCTCTCCTTGTACAGATACTTATGTACATATGTTTTTGTTTCTTTGTCATTTACAAATTGCTATAATGCTTAAGAATTCTAAGATGAATTATTATACATTGTTGTTTGTTTAGGTGCTTGAAGTTGTTAAAAAATGCCTTTTATCCATTTCATCCAGCAAGCAACTTGGTGTGGTTATCCACAATATTTTACTTTCTGATTCTTCCATTCACAATGCACTCTTCCAAATAGTTTGTACGACTACGCAGGGTTTAGAGGTAAGCCTTGCTGCCTTTCTTCCTTGCTTCAGAGAGAGGTGTTATGTCTTTGATCTTTTACTTACTGTTTCCATTATAAACTTTTGATTATTTCACCTGCAGAAACTTTATATCAGCCGCCTTTATGATCTTATTGATGTTGAAGGATTAAAGCTGGCCATATCCTCTGGATTGGATATTCTTTTTAACATGCTCTCTCTTCTGTCTGAGGTGTGCTTGGGAATGACAACATTCAACCACCATTTGCATATCGTTAAGGAATGTAGTAGTTGCATGCCCTGGTTCTTTTGTTGCTTGGACTTGGTGATTTTTCAATAATGTCTTTGTTTCCTTGGTAATCAAACTTTGTGTCTGTAGACTTTTTAATAAACAATTTGATTGCTTAAATGGGCCCTTGAATTCTAAAAAAGGTGAATCGAATGGTAGCTTTGCTTCTCTGGGGGGGAAGAAGGGAGGGAGGTAGAGAGATGATAAAGAGGATTATGACTTAGATGTTGAGAGTTTGAAATGATTTATGTGAATAGGAACTTATGAAATTAGACTGATTAGACTGGAACATAGTTTACACACAATTTGCTTGCATTAGTTTGACTGGCATGTCTAGGGATGTTTTCCATTATATATTACCCTGTTAATATGGAAAAAAATTGTTTAGCAAACAAGGAGTGAAGTGAGGATTTCTTTGATTTTTCTTCAATCTGCCCTTGTTTTGAAGGTTTTCCCATGGGTATTGAAAAGGAAAGAATTGCTAAGTGGAAAAGTGTTTACTAAATATGATGTAAGCTTTTGGATTTCGGTACAAGGCAAAATGAGGCAGCAATTTCCTTGTGATATGTTGTTTTCTTTTAGAATGTATAGTGGCTATAAAATACTCCAAGTAATTGTAATTGAAATAACTATGGCAACTATCTATTTATGTCATGAAATGCTTTATTGCAAAAGTTATCTAGTGATTAGCAGTCACATGGAATGCAGTAGTTTAGCTAGGAAAATAAGGTACCCTGTTCTTAGTTGTGATGTATTGTCCATTGTTGTGAGAGTGTTGTGATGTATTCTTAGACCGGATTTTTTGGTTGTATCAGTGAGAGAGTGTGAAACACAGATGTGTGTGCACATGGAGAGAGATTTTGATACAAGTCAAGTTGTTTTTGAATGATGTGATGTGATGTGATGTGTTTTTATCCTTGATTTCTTGATGGGGGAAGTGAAAGTTATATGGATGGATCAAAACTGAGACAATTATTAATAGGGACAGCTGGGTCTTTAGGGTGACCCAAGGTATAGAAGTGGTTAAAGTACAGAGGGAAGGAAAACAAAATGGATTGGGCTTGCTTGTCACCCTCACATACTATCTTGTTTTGGTTCATTGCTTCATGTTCTGATGTTAGGGATGAGAGATTTTGGCTTATGATTTATGATATGATAGCATCTCTCTTTGACTCCCCCCCCCCTTTCCTTCTTTGTAAGACACACAGGCAACCTGGGCTTGCATCCTGTTGTGAATCCATTCATTTTTTTTCTTTTCCGTTTTCCAATCATCTTTATTCAGGCCTGTTCAGCAATCCATACTCTTATTGACTGTATAATATTTTTGATATAGTGCAAATTTAAATTTTGGATTTTTTTTAAATTTCTTTGTACATGTATGTGTAAGACTTTTCTAGTTACGAAGTTATGACTTGCTTTGCTGTTTTACAGGATGTCACCAATCTTTCGCTATTTCATCAAGCAATTTTATCGCCATTGACAAAACCAGTTCCTGTCGTAACTGCAGCAGTATCTTTGATGTCATCCTTCCAAACTTTTGTATGATTTTATGTTTATGTTGAATATATCTAATTTATGATTCTCTTCTAATCTCCCGGGATTCACACTTTTTGAATTATGGACAGAATTTTCTTTCCATATAATTTTTGTTTTGGACATGCAGATTATTGCACTTTTATAACTTGACCCTAGAGATCTATTCTACATTGGCATGGGCTGAAATTAGATCTAAAAATGGCATAAACTTCAAGAAGCATCTCTATGGATACATTTTGATACAAAGAAGATATATAAGTTTCGATTTATAATTTATGTGCAGTAGCTCAACTTAGGCTATTCTCTATAGAGGGTATTTCCAGAACCTTGTTGAACATCAGAGTTAGCCTATTTGCAGATTAAACTCAATGTAATGCCTTAGGCATCACATCGTCTTGACCTCGTTGCATTTTTTACTTTTGTGGGGCATTTTGAAGTCATCACCGGTGCCTTTTCTAAATGCTGTAATGCAATTTTGTGTGGTGCGTTTGGAAAAAACAGGTTTATGCTGGCATGCATCAGTGCATTGCTGGTGGTGTCACATTTTATGCTTCCAATATCAGCTCCTAAAGACAAGTTGGATGTTGTCATTTGCAATAATCATGCTGAATACAACTTTACTACCCGTTAACCTGATTTTAAGCTTGGGTATGGCATATGTTTTAATTAATTTGTTTTGACATGGGTAAAACAACAGTTTTGGCAATAATATTGTTATGGGCTATTAACCCATTGTATTTAGTAAGGATTAAAAAATCAGAAATAGAAAATAAAAGGTTGAATCTATGTTATGCGAAGTATTTGCATATAGCCTTCTCTTGAACTAATAGGCACATAAATTTATATGACTTTTGTTCTTGTGAAGCATTAGGTTGCCTTCTGTAATATTACTGGTTTTTGGAGTTATTTAAATTCATTTTTTGGTGTAGAGTAATTGAATTGGTACTCAAATTAAGTAGTGTGATTCACCTGCTTTGCTGTTATTGGATTAGCAAGTTTGTGTATAGATGTTATTGATGAAATTCACTGTTCATGCAGAACATACAGGTTAGTGCTGCAAGGCTGCTTTCCTTGTTATTTATCACAGGGGATTCTTCAAGGTCATCTGCATTTGGCAATGCATGTCTTGGTCTGGATGATAAACAGGTTTCCAGTTATGCTTAATGGTGGATTCTTATGTTATCTCATTGATAGCTAGTTGGGTTATCTATTGCATTCTAATCCGCTAATATAATCGGGCAGATATGCGAGTTCAGGAGTTCTATTTGTCACATCTTGAGTGGGCAGTCACCATGGAATGAGGAACTCGTCATTGCTACTTTTAGATTGCTTACTTCGGCTGCATGTTATCAGGTCATTACATTGGGCTTATTCTTTTGATAACAAAACATGGTTGCAACTGCACTCTTTCAGCCACTGGTTTTGGAGTAATATTTCCATCATGGAATTGATCGTGGTTATTTGAAGAGTGCATTTTTAATTTTAGCTCTTGTTCTTGGGATATATTAGTATCTTGAGAAACTTTTTTTTCTTTTCTATTATCTTATTAGTTTAAATTGGTTAGTATGGTTTCGCTGCTCCTTTTTTTTGTGTGTGTGTGTGTGGAGATAACTGATAATTTTTATTAAAGGTTTCTGTTGTGATTTATGCCTCAGACCTCATTGGTTAGAAAAACATTTAAACTGTTCTGAGAGTTCGTGATATTGCCAAATTTCCTCAAGTTTAGCTGATTTTTGTTGTTTCAACCTGAATTATTAATGAAATGAGAAGTCTGATGTTATTCATTAACCCGAAGTTATAATTAAAGGACCAGTCTGGTGCTATTTATTGACTTCAACAAGTCATCTTACTCTGCTTTCTATTAGTTTTACTTCTTGGTTCTGAGTCAGTGGCTTTCAATGTCCAGCCTGCATTTCTTGCTGCTGTTATTACTTCGAAGGAAAATTCAAATTCCCAGTTAAGTGATGTCCTTAGTGAGAAGCATCCGAATGAAGCTAATCATAGGCTGGAGTCAAATGGCAAAAACTTTTTAGATGCAATTCTTCAGTGTGTCAGGAAATCTGATGAGCTTATGAAGGGGTATGTCTATCGTGGTAATCTACTGTAAGAAATATTCATCTTGAATGACCATTTTAGGTTATCTAAGAAATGCAACAAAAAAATGACCTGATAATTTCTACTTTCAGTAAACCCAATATGCTGTCGAATGTTCTGAACTTCCTGAAGGCATTGTGGCAAGGCGCTCCGCAGTTCACAAATTTCTTAGAGCAGCTGAAGAACTCAGAGAACTTCTGGAAACAACTTTCTGATTCTGTCATGCTCATCCCTCATAAGCCAGACAATCCATCGGAAAACCTCACAGACAAGGAGCTTCAAAACTTAGTATACAGTTATTACTGTCAATCTGATTTATTAGAAATAATTGCTTATGAAATTTTCCTGCATAAGAAGCTTTTACACAGCGAGTTAGCTTTGAAAACAACTTCTGAACTATCAAAAGATCAAGTGGACAAGGTAGATGGTTCCAGATTAGCCAAAGATGGAAGTATATGTGGTTTGAAGAATTTGCTTTCAACCTGGTTCAAAAGCTCGCTGTTGGGTGACCTGATAAAGTCATATGCCTCGTGTACCTATGACTTTGAAATGCACTTGCATGCAAAGGTGAGACCCTGCTTTTGAGTGGGAAGTTGTTCTTTTTCTTGACATAGCCAACTAGGATCAGTATAGTTTTTCCCAAGTTATTCATTGGAGGTGATTAACCGTTAAACAGACAATATAAATCGGCAGTATCTACAGAATGTTTTAGCGTTCCAAGGGCCTTTTTTGTTGGTAACTTTATCGCTTGCTCAACTGTAGGCCCTAAGACCTTTTTCTTGTTTCTTTATTTAATGTGGCCAAAGACTGCTAGCAGGCTTCTTTCTTGGTGCCAATTAGGCAACTTGTTGGGGTCTAGGTGGATGGATATTGAAAAGGGGAAAGTACGAATTGTGCTTGGATATGGCAGGAACTTTTTCTGCTGTGTGTCTGGATATACACGTTATTATAAACTTGCTTTGGTGTTTAAATTGACTAAGTCAATATGTTTCTGAATCATGGAATTCGTTTGTTTCGTGATGTTTTCAGCATATGATAGATGCATGTTCTGATGAGTTGCTTCATTTGTTGTACTCCTTATAAGAAGTTGCATGTTAACTGATAAATGGCTTTACAGGTTTCTGCTAGCCTGTTTTCTGTACATTCCATGCTGAAACTCAAAGATGGTGAGATGGGAAGTTTGTCAGTGTCTCTCATTGAAAAACTTCTTGTTTTGTCGAGAAAGGTATTATCCCTTAATAGACCATATACAATAGAATTTTGAGGTGTTTGCTTCTTGAGGTTACATCAATTATGCTGTCTCTTTTTCCTTTTGTCATTTAGTGCTGTGGCTGAACTTGTGACATCATTTATGATTCACTTGTCGGTATTATCTGCAGTTGGTAAATTTGCCAGCCTTCTCCGAATTGTTGACTCGATACACACAACATGGTTACAGGTAAAATTATTAGTATCTGTCATTATTTAATCTTGTAGACACTTTTGATTGATGCAACTGCCAGGTTTGAATCTGTTGCTGGTAACCACTATCATTTTGGTTATACCAGTGACATATATAGATATTTATGCATGCACTTCTTGTCAATCAAGTCAGCAGTCTAATCTGATATTTTTCTCTTCATGGTGGTTTTATTCTATGCTTGCATGAGAATGTAGAATTGTTTGTCCTTGTTTCAGAAAGGCCTTTTTTTTTTGGGGTTTACTGATGCAACTGATATTTGCTTTTTTTTTTTTTGGTTGCCAGTCTAGGAAAAGACTTGCAACGTTTGATACTTAGTGATCTCTTCTACCATCTGCATGGAGAGCTTGAAGGTCGACCAATTAATGACAGGTCCTTCAAAGAAATGTTGCAGTATCTGTTACAGTCAATATTTTTGCAAACATATCTATGCAAGTGCAATGAGGACCTTCAATTGCATGTAAAGGATGTTAACCTATATGACTTGTCTCGTCTGCAATCTGATATGGGATTGGATCTGTGGGACCTTCTTCCAGAGTGGAAAGCATCTAAATCAGTTGCAGAAAAAATGTTGAACTGCTTGGATAATGTTAATAAGATGGTGTTGCTCAAAAATTCCAAGCTTTCTGCTCTCAAAGCATTAGTAACCATGTTGTCCTTGGATGGTGATGACGTGAGTTTCCAATTATATTTCTATTCCTGGACTTCTCAATCATGCCAAATGTCACATAAGCCTGAAGAATAGCTATTTCATTGAATTCTGTGTTTTGCTCTTGTATTAAGATGTAGCATCTACTTGCAGAAGAATCAATTGCTGTTTAATGCTTCTGTGTTCTCACATTTTCATGATCCAGAAATTCTGATATGAGCAAAACGTGGACAATAATTGTCTCTACTTTTGACATATTTTATTCCTTGATTATGCAAGTAAAACACCAGAAGTTTCTGGCTTTTTATTTAAATTAAGATACCATGCATAAACCTTTTTCTGCCTTTACATTTTAGTTGTTTAGTGGTCATAATTTTCGAGCCAGAGTTTTCAGAATAGATTTCTGAATGTTTTATATGAATATCCATTTTTTCATGTTTTATACAATGTTTATGTGTATTTGACATGTTTTACCTGCTCATGCAGTCAGGTGAGATTGGAGGCGCACTAGCTGGAACAATCCCTGAGCAACTTACCTTGTCATGCATCAACCATGCATGTCAGTGTCTGCATGCCACTATAGAATCATTAGCTCCAGATCTAGATGTCATTCAAGATGTGCTTGATATCCTTCTGGCTCAAGCGGAATTACTGCTGCATCTGATCAAATCCATAGGCGAAAACCTATCTCTTCACTCATGTATTCTTGTCTTAAAAGCCTCAGGGCTGGGCCTTAAAGTGTTGAGTAGCTTAAGGCCATTAGATACTAGTCTGGGAGAAGCAATGAAGCTTTTACTTATGTTGGTTCTCTTTTCAGTCAACTTGAGCTGGCTGAAAACACATTTGGCTGCTGGGAGTGCAACAGACTCTGTTGTTGAAGCTGCTGAGGCATCTACTCTAATTTTAGGGTTATTACCCATTATTTGCCACTGTACTCAATCTGCTGATCATTATAAGCTCTCCCTCTCTACGATAGATGTCGTACTGAGAGGTTTTTCAACATCAGCTACTTGGATTCCTATTGTTGAAAAACATTTACAGTTGCATTCTGTTGTTCAGAAACTTGAAGATGAAACTTCAGTTGCAACAATTCCAGTGATTTTGCAGTTCCTCTTGACCCTTAGCCGCGTGAGAGAAGGTGCTATGATGCTTGTTAATGCTGGTTTCTTTGCATCCCTAAGAGGGCTATTAGCCAAGTTATCTGATGATCAGCATTCCTCTGTCATTTGTGGTGAGAGGAGCCTCTCATATGAATATGACAGAAGTGAAAAGGCAAAGCATATATGGGGACTTAGCTTGGCTGTTGTTACAGCTATTGTTCACTTTCTGGGGGATGCTTCTTCTTCGACTGGGATTGTGGATTATGTTATGGCTCACTTGTTAGTAGAGAAAGCTTTTTTAATTTCTTATTACCTTAGTGTACCAGATTTCCCATCAGAAGATCATGATAAGAAACGAGCTCGATCTCTTAATAGGCATACTACTTTAAGTACTCTTAAAGAAACAGAACAAACGCTTATGCTGATTTGTGTCCTAGCAAGATATAGGAATTCATGGAATAAAGCTATGAAAGAGATGGATTCACAGTTAAGAGAAAAGTGTATCCATTTATTGGCATTCATCAGTAGGGGAAATCAACAGCTTGGAGAATTACCTAGAAGAGTTGCACCACTTATATGTCATCCAGTTCTGAAGGAGGAGTTTGAGTGGTATAAGAAACCATCATTTGTTAATAGCAGAAATGGTTGGTTTGTCCTTACACCTCTTGGTTGCGGTTTAGATCCTAAATTTTCTTCAATGTCCTTGAGAACTACTTCCGTTGTTAGCAAAGATCAATTAGATGACATTGAATTTCCAGCTTCTCAAACTTACTTCTCTGACATTACAGCAATTCAGATATATAAAGTCACCTTTCTTCTTTTAAAATTTTTGTGCATACAAGCTGAAGGAGCAGCTAAAAGGGCTGAGGAGGTTGGTTTTGTGGACCTTTCACATTTTCCAGAGCTCCCAATGCCTGATATATTGCATGGTTTACAGGTACGGTTTTAGTGTTCATTTCCTTCTTCCCCTCATTGTTTTTTGACAGTTGGACTGAGCAACATTTGAAAAAAGTTGTACTTCGCATATTATACCTTTCAATTGAGTGCTTTTATTTATTGGGGTCGATGTAGAATCCTTCATTAAAGGTAAAACGGTTGACAGACATCAAAGTGGAGTATAAATATTCCCTATGGCTTATTTTCTGGGATGTCTATGTTTTGTGATAGTTTTTGTTGCACATGGTTGACTAGTAAATGTTGGATGGCAGGATCAAGGCATTATTATCCTCACTGAATTGTGTGAAGCCAACAAGTCAACGCTGGTTACTCCTGCTATGCAGGACATCTGTCTACTGCTCTTACAAATAACAGTAATGGCATTGCATCTTGAACTCTGCGTAATACAAATTTGTGGGATTCGTCCTGTGCTTGGACGTGCTGAGGATTTCTTGAAAAACTTTAGATTGTTCATAAGAGGTACTGGTCCTTTTACAGCCTCCTGTTGTACGTTCAATTTCAGTCTTCCTGACCATGGTTTTATTAGACATTATACTTCTTTCTTCGTTAAATTTTCAGTGTCGGAGGGACAGGCATTTTTGAAACAGACAGTGAAGTCCTTGAAACAAATTGTATCATTTGTATATCCTGAATTGCAAGCTCAAGCCTTCAGTTGACATGCTTGCTTATGGTGGTGGAAGTTCAGAAAAGCGATGTCCTTGAGAACAAGTTGTAAAATGGGTATCAGTTATTTACTTTTATTAGAGGGTGTGTCATCCATGTATAAGATATGTAAGAAATGTGAAGCTTCGGCTGTGAATGTGTAGATTTTTGTTTTGGGGTAAGGTGAAGGAATGTTGATACACAATGTAAAATGTGAAATCTAAATGTGCATATAGGTTATGATGATAATCTATTTTGTAACATGCGTTCTACTTTCCGCTTTCAAGAGAGAAAAATGGCATTTCCTGCTTCTGAAATATGTCTGGATAATTTCAGAAACGTCTCTTAAGGTTTTGAAATTTACACTGAAGTTTGATTGGTTGGCAATGGAATGTTGGTTTTTGGCAAGTTTTTGAGGCTGGGATGATGGAATTACTGGGGTTTGAGATTTGGAATTTGGAGTCTTTGCTTGATAGTATTCTTTGTTTGGCGGAAGGGTGCAAGGTTTTGTTTCTTTTTGTTTTGGTGCAAAAAGGGTAGTTAGGATATTTTAGGGAAAATATAGCTGATTGGGTGGGTCTATAGTGTTGCGTGAACAGTAAAAACATGGTATGTAGGTGTAATATTTAAAACTTGTGGGGAGCTCTCTGTAACTGTCAGAAGCTTCGGTAGGTTTCTGAAATTATTCGAAAATAATAATAATAATAAAAGGATGTCTCTCTATATTTCATAGTTCAGTTTATGAATTGATTGGGTTGGCAATGTCTCTCTATCTTTCTCCAGGAATGCATATTTTTAGCCGAGGAGGTGCTCCATTCCTCTACATGCCAGAGGCAGAATGATTGCCAAAAGTTCTGTTTACTGTAATTTTGCAACCGGAAATTTCGACTTAAATTGTTGTCATAGTGTGTCTCATCTAGTTCTACGACATGGTAGTATGCGGCTGTCAACTGTATTTAGATTGTAGGCAATCTCTGCCCAGCTCTCTTGTAGCTTCTTGTATCATTGTATGCGAGGTTTAGAGCTTATATCACCAATAGCTTTTTATGACCAACCAACCAAACCACGAGGGTATGTTAAATTTTAATTTCTATGCTGTGGTTGCGTAAAGCAACTTGGCGCTTTGTTCTCAATTATTTAACTTAGCTTGCTTACTAAAAAGATGGAAGTTTGGACCTTTCTTATGTGTAATTGAGAAATTATGGCATGTAGGTAGAGGTGTCAAAATAGGTGACTTGTTTGGGTTGGGTAGAGTGGGCAATGAGTATAAGTGAGTCAACCCATTTATACCCATTTAATTAGAAGAGTATAAATGAGTAAGTCAAAAATTGAATTGGGTAACTCAATTATTCATTTATAACCCATTAATTTTAACTTTTTGTAAACTCATTTAAATTCATTTTTGCAAACTTAATATCAATTTACACCACATGTTGCGCCCATCATTAGTTTTAAATATTTACTTATAATAGTCAATAAGCCTAATTACCAATTTTTTCCCATCCATACTCTATGTTGTAAAATTACATATTTTTTAATAATTGAACAATAAGAATAAAAAAATTGAACTAAGTACTATAAAAGTTAACATAAAAACTTAATTCAAAAATCTTGAAACCCTAGCATTTGTTGTGTGTAAATTTAAAATTTTATTTTGGAAAGGTAAGAAAAGAAGCTTGGTAATACTGAAAAATGGGCAAGTTAGCAAATTAAGAGAAAACAAAATGATAAGACAAAATCAACAAATAATAATAATAATAATGAAACAAAAGTAGTTAACATCATAACAAAATGAAAATTTTGGAAAAAAAAAAAAAGGGTGGGGGAAGAAAAGAGGTTTGATGAATTACAATTCTAAATGGATTAATTGAATTTGATGGGTTACCCAATAATATCTATTTATTACTCAATAATACATATTTAATAAATAGGTATTATCGGGTAACCCATTTATACCTATATGTAAAAACTTAAGATACTCATACCCATTTATTCATGAGCGGGTATAAATAAATTTAATTAAATGAATTTATTTGACAGGATGGTATAGGAATGTGATTGCATGTAAACAAAGTGTCTCAGCCCTATTCTTGACAACATAAGTGGGCAGGTTGTTTAATGTTGCATGAATGTTTCTCTGTCCTTGAAAGCCACTCACAACAGTGAAAAGAATTTGCATCTTTTATGTCCGTCCAAAATTCCTTTTTATCTTTATCCAAAGCTTCCTTCCTTCCTTCCTTCCTTCCGGTCAGTGATATTTGTTGTCTTTCTATTTCGGATTCGCCTATGAGTTTTACTGCCAATTCAACACCCCCCCCCCTTTTTTTTCTTTCTCACCATTTCCTACACTCTTCTTACTTCCAACCATTAGGTTGAGAATTCGAAAATCTACCTGATTGCAAGGATTCGAATCCTAAATTTAATAGTAGGGAATACTTTAAGAGTTCTTTTTAATCACCGAACTAACCTCAATGATTAAATCCAATACCTTTACTAGCAGTACTCAGCATTTCATATAAAATTTTTCACATTACTTGATCATCTCCTTGGAAGGAAATGCCCCTTTATTTTAGATTTTATTGCTTGTCCTCTTCCTTCTTTCCTGCATGACATAATTTCATGTTTCAGTTTGATTTACAAGCCTTCCTTTCTATTGGGAATGGTATTGCGTGCAAATAATCTTATGAAAAGGCAAGCGGTGAATTTTTGCATTTGTTTAGAGGGTTATGCAATTCCTTTTTGTGACTAATTTTTTATGAAGAATTTACTTTCCCTTTTTTTTTGTGAAAATCTACATATTGTGAGTGTTTGATATTCCCTTTTTTTTGGTTGGGTGAGGGGGGGAGGGGGGGGGGAAGGCGGTGGTGGTGGTGGAAGGGAGTTGGAGGAAGCAAAGCTATCGAATTTCTAAATAAGTATATTATCAAGTCAAAATATCAATTTACAAAATAATTTTTCATATACTATAGAAGTTATAAAACTAGCTGGTAAATCTTTAACTTCAGGAGAGTTCAATTGAAGAAAAACAACTTTAGGTATAAAAAGATGTCTATGAAAAATAAGAATATGTTTGAAAGTTATGAATCATAAAATACAAGTTTACGTACACTTATTACTTTTAGATGTTATGCTACATTAACATTAGTTTTGAATTATATTTTTGTGCATGAGATATTAGATTAGTTATGATGCATTATAAACCAAAAGAGTAGGACATGTATTTTTTTAGCGTAACTCATAAAATATTTATTTATCTTAGGTAATTTGAAATTATATAAAAAAATTGAAGTATTATTCTTGAAATATAATACTGAAGAAAATCTTAAGATTAATATTTCATGCACTTACAATTAATACACTACCGGATTTAGATGCATGACACTTAAAAAAATGAAAGAGTATTTTTAGAGCATTTAAAAATTGTAGGAATTTTTACTAATTATGTCCATTTATCCAAAAAGAAAAATAAAGGAAAAAATGAAGTACAGAGTACAGACGAAGCTTCCAACAAAAAGACGGCTCGACTTTAATCCGTCGCGCTTTAATTTGGTGTTTGAGAGGGAACTTTGACTTCATTGACTCAGAGGAGCAGAGCCTATTGAAAGTGAAACAAAATACCGTAATAACGCTACCCACTACGCCACCTCCTAATTGTCGTCATTTACTTCAGTTTTGGTAGTATTTTTTTCAGATCTTTCCCTTCGTCACCTTCTCCCTTGCCATTCCCCACGTTTATTGCTCGGAGAGCTCATTTTCCCTTTTTCCAGCTTTATTTTTCAATTTTATTTTTCTTTTCAAGTGGGCAGAAGAAGGTTGTAAGATAAGGCTTGTGTGTTGGAGCATTCTCTTGGCGGGAAATCAAACTTGATTGTCTTGATTTTAGTTCCTTTTTTCTCTTTTGTTGATTTGTTAATATAAAGAAGTAGTAGTAAAAGGGACGCAAGATGGGGGTGTCGGATAATTCAAGGGGGTTGATTTTGGCTATGCTGTCGAGCTTGTTTATTGGGACCAGCTTCATTTTGAAGAAGAAGGGTCTCAAGCGTGCTGCTGCTGCTTCTTCTGCTACTCGTGCAGGTCTTTTTTTTCCATTATTCATCCGATTTTTTCGCAACTCTGCTAGATCTTTCCTCATTTCTTTTGTCTAATTTGATTTTTTAGTGGATAATACCCTTCTGATTCAGTAAAATTTGAACTTGCCTTCGTCTTTTGATTGATCACAGCCACCCTTCAATTTTCAGCACTCAAAGAAAATAAGAAGAAAACAAAATGAAAAAAGAAAGAGAGAGAGATCAGTAATTCGAATAATTCTCAGAAAATTTAGTAGAAGTGTTTGTGTATTGCTTAACTTCTGATTCTGTAGTGTAGTACATAAATCTTGCAATCCATGGGGTTATCAGGTTTTTTTCGCGGGGTTAGCAAGTTTTACGGTGGTGAGATACAGTTTTAGCTGACACATTGATCTAAACGTACTTCTCTTGGAATTTTATATGCTTATGCTTGTGTAGTTTGGTATAAGCTGTGTTTCCTGCCAAAAAAAAGCCAACTTTATGCTTGTATTACACGTCCTATTTCTGAATTCATATCAAAACCCTTAACTCTGCATGGATATCTGGGCATGTTCTCATCTGCTGCAGCCTTTAAATCTTCTAAAGTTTCCAAAATGATGTAATAAATGAACATTTGTTTTAAGTAGTTTTAAGTAAGTAAAAAAGTTACCTTTATCATTAAATTTTAGTGGTACATTTTATTCCATTGGATCAACAATTCTGAGGTATGGCTGAGTGGCTTAAAGATTGGTTTTCTTGAGGGGCGTCTGATATTAAGTGGATGCCAGGGTTTTGATCTCTTTCCATTTTGAGTAGCCCTATTCAGTTGTCAAATTGAAAATAGATGGTGTCTTAGGGCTGTTGGTTTTATCGTGATTTTGCCGAGACAGATCATTGGTTGTTGGCATTGATTCAGCTATTGTGTCAGAACTAAAAGCTGTCCACCTTTATAATCTCTTTATTTGACACATTAAGGACACTATCTAATTCAGGAGATCATGTCTTGGTGAACTATGAAAAATGCCCCTTTACGGAAGTCCTCAGAGCTATAATGTAATATTTGAATGAATGTCTAGTAAAACGTTGGTTTCTTGTAGTCAGTTGTTGGTACTGGATAGAAAATAAAAGTAACACATTATCTTTTCGAGAAAAATGTAAAAAATTTTGACATCCCATGATTGAAACTATGCCATAGAGAAATGAGAAAGGGAGTGCCTTGCTCAAGATTAAACATATCTAGATTCACCTTTTTCTTTTCTTGAAAAGTATTAATAACCAGAAAAATTAAGTGGCTAGCTTTTTGGATCATATGGAAATGAGTGCATAGTTGTGTAATGATGCAAGATTTATTGGAACAGACTATTTCTATTCATTATTCTTTACCCAATTCAAGAGTTTTCAGTGGTGCGATTTGTCTTTACTACAGGTGTTGGAGGGTATACTTACTTGCTTGAGCCGCTTTGGTGGACTGGCATGATTATAAGTGAGTAATAAATCATTCATGTTCCCTCTTCTCCAAGCATGGAAGCCATGCTACATAACTAATTGTAGAACATATCTGATATATGCAGTGATTGTTGGAGAAGTGGCAAATTTTGTGGCTTATATTTATGCTCCAGCTGTTATGGTGACCCCTCTTGGTGCGCTTAGTATAATTGTCAGGTATATAGTTCTTGTACTCTTGTAGATCTGATACACTCTGAAGGATGATAGCCACACTAACCTTAATGAATATGAATAGTGCTGTTTTGGCACACTTTATCTTGAAGGAACGATTGAGAAGAATGGGTGTAGTGGGATGTGTATCGTGCGTTGTCGGATCTGTGGTCATCGTAATCCATGCACCTCAGGAGCAGACTCCAAGTTCTGTACAACAGATCTGGAATTTGGCTATTCAACCAGGTCTTGATTGTTGCACAAGTCCTTAAAAACCTATACTATGTTTACTCTTCTTAGAGATTTTCGTGGTTTCTTGATAGCATGCATCTTTGCTGCAGCATTTCTAATTTATGTTGCAGCTACGATGTCAATAGTGCTGGCACTCGTTTTGTACTTTGAGCCTCGCTATGGGCAGTCAAACATACTAATTTACTTGGGAATTTGTTCCTTAATGGGTGCCCTTACGGTATATTAATCACTCTATTCTTGGATTCTGTTTGTACCTTGCACATCTCAATCATTGTTTTTCTCATATTTACTGAAATGAACATCTTCCTTGGCAATTTTAGGTTGTCAGCATAAAGGCTATTGGAATTGCAATAAAGCTTACTCTAGAGGGCATTAGTCAAGTTGCATATCCGGAGACATGGGTTTTTCTTGCAGTTGCTATAGTATGTGTCATCACACAGTTAAATTACCTTAACAAGGTGGGTGGTGATGATTTTATGATATGGTGCTGGTTCTTTAGAAATTAGAAGCTAATATTCATTTTCCTGTTCACATACATGTTCTCCCCTTCACTTAATTAAGAGAGCATTTGTTATTTCTGCAAATTCTTGTTTAGGCACTGGATACATTCAATGCAGCCCTGGTTTCTCCAATATATTATGTGATGTTCACAACTCTGACAATCATTGCTAGCGCTATAATGTTCAAGGTATACACCAAATCTTTTTTTCCCCCCTCTTTTTGTGGACTTGCACCTATCCATATGGCAGCTTTTTTGGATTTGGAACTTCTTCAAAGCGTTCCCACTGTTACATGGGAATATGCACTCAAATCTCTATATGTTAAAATTTTTGCAGGATTGGTCAGGACAGGACGCAAGTAGCATTGCTTCTGAGATTTGTGGATTCATCACTGTGCTTTCTGGGACAATCATACTTCATGCAACACGAGAGCAGGAAACAGCAAGTATGGCAGGTATAAGACTAAACTGGACTTTCATGGAAAAATTCATAAATGAGCTATGAGCATATTGTGGTTGTTGCTTGTCATATGTGGGTGTCATCATGAGATCACTCCTTTGACTGAACCTGCAAGCAAGCTTTTTGTGCATTTTAAAAAAGCACTTCTTTGAAGTATCAATTTATTCATATGAAACATAGAGGCATCAACTGAACCTGTATTTTAGGCTTTGAAGTTGACATAGATCAATCCCCAGAAAGGTGGGATTCAGCCGAAACTGGATGTTGTGAAATGCTTTTTCTTGTGCAATGACAAGTTATTCACTTGCTTTCATATTGGTATCTTTTACTGAGCAGTTGCACTTTACGTAAAATGCAGGAAGCATAACATGGTACAATGGAGATCCAATCAAGAGCGTGGAGGATGCACATTTTATTTTGTTGCACGATGCAGATTACTATGAATGAGTAAATTTTCATGCCTTAGCTGCAACAACATGATTCTTTTGCAATGAAGGTACATCAGCAGCTGGATTTTTGTTTTACTTACCAGGCGAATATCATTCCTGCATAGTCTCATCAAACAGCTGCTTGAATCGTTGCAAATGCCAGATATTCTGGTGCTGCTCATCCCAAGGGCGATAAAATGGTATTACAGAGTCCCAAAGCTCCTAGACATTCCCTAACTGGAGCAAAGCTTTTGCTCACGGCACGTGTTGTAATTGAGATTGCGGTTTGTACATACGTGAGGTATCATTTTTGTCTTTTTTTTACTTCATGAGTTGCGATTGTGAATTGGTTTCCAAATTTTGTTTGCTGATTCACTATTGGTTCATGCTTGTAACGCCCTCCTTTCCTGTTGGAGCTTATTAAGCAAAACGATTTTGCAGAGTCGTATTGATTGTATAACTTCTATTAATCGAGGCGAGTCTCAATTTAAATTTATCAAGTTCAAACTTGACGAGTTCTCAATGTAAAGTTCGAATTTGAACTCGATTTCAAATTCAAGTTGAATCGAGCTTGAATTTTAAAAAAATAAAAGATAATTATTTCAATTTTAAAAAATGGATAAAGTGGTAATTTTTTAATAAATAATAAAATATTAAGAACATATATATAATTTTATTATTAAAATAAAAAATTTAAAAATATATAAATATAATTAGTTTGGCTCGCTAATTAATGAGTTGAGTATTTTTTTTATCTCGAACTTTTTTAATTGAGCAGCCTACTATTAGCTTGCGAGCAGCATAATCCGGATACATTTGTTTTTGGGCAAATTATCCAATTGGCCCTTTAACTCTTTGTCTAGGTAAAATTAAGCCCCTCATCTATTTTTTGCTGACTTTAAACCCTCGAACTTGTAAAATGGGAAATTCGTGGCCCTTTTAGCCAGTTTCTCCGGTTTTGCAACCGAATGACCAATTCACACGAACGCCATGTGCTTCTTTCAAGGGCATTTTTGTCCTCATATTCTAAGCAAAAAGGGCACACATAGTCCACCTTTCTATTTGATTTCCCTCATCTCCCTTACTCTTCCCTGCGCAACCCCCACGCAATCCCATGGCCGTCTCTGTCACATTCTCGGGGATTGCTTCCAAATTCTGCACATCTAACAAAACCTCACAGTCCAAATTCCTAGATACATCTGCACTCTCCTCCCGGGCCATCACCGGCATGTCATCATCATCCAGAAACATGCTCAGAACCTCTCTCTCATCAACTCCTTCATCCACTTCCTCCCACTCAAAATCCTCATTAACTTCTCTATGATCCTCAATCTGAAAAGAATCCCAACAGAGCCTAAGGCTTGGATCATCATCACCCTCACTTATATCATCATCGTCAGCACTAAAATCAATCTCAACGTCATGGTTTATATCAGAATCCGATTCCGACCCGATATCCACGACTCGCAACCCGATTACAAAATGGTCCCCACCCTCAAAATTTTCAGCTACGAACCCTGAATTTTCCATATTTGCCGAAGTGGGCTCTCCGAGAAACCCTAGATTCAGATCAAGATCCAAATGGGTCGGCTCCATTCCGTCGTTTCCTTCATGAATCCCGAAATTCGGGTCAGCATCAGAAATCTCCGGGTCAATCACCACACAGGCTGTGGAGGACAATTGGGACTGCTCAACTCGTTGGTGCAGGAGGTCCATAACGAAATTCACCTGATTCTCGCGGTCGAAAAGATCAGCACTGGTGACAACCGATTCGGGTTCCGACACGATGTCGCTGGGGGATCAACCAATAGCATCGAAATCGGAAGACCAGTAGGGATCGAGATGATGGCGGTGGGGATGGGTTTGATGATGAGAAAAATCTACTTCTTCAATGACGTCGTCTAGGCCGTCATCGTCCTGGTGGAGTCTGAGTAGTTGAAGCAACGTCGTCTCAGCCATTCTGTTTCAGCGGGGTGGGAAGAGTAGGAGGAATAAAAGTGAGAAAGGAAACACCTTTTTTTCGAAAATTATTTTTTATCTAAAAATTCCCATCTTTTTACGTTTTCTTTTGTTTGATATTCTACGGCATGGGGCAAGGGGGGTAGGTGATCAGCAATTTCCCCTTTTATTTTCTCTCTTTTTTTGACTAAAAATGAGCACTTTTCCAGCTTCCTTCGGTGGATTATGTGTGCCCTTTTTGCTTAGAATATGAGGACAAAAATGCCCTTGAAAGAAGCACATGGCGTTCGTGTGAATTGGTCATCCGGTTGCAAAACCGGAGAAACTGGCTAAAAGGGCCACGGATTTCCCATTTTACAAGTTCGAGGGCTTAAAGTCTGCAAAAAATAGATGAAGGGCTTAATTTTACCTAGACAAAGAATTAAAGGGCCAATTGGATAATTTGCCCTTTGTTTTTAATGTTTTAGAATTGGGAGAATCTTGCTGGGCATCAATTCGGAGATTATTTGTGCCAGGATCATCCGGTTGGCATCTCAGTTTGTTTACGTGTCTGATTATTTTTATTATTTTTTTGTATGATAGCAATCGAAGGCAAAAGACAAGTTGTCCTCAGTTTCCGAGCCATTGGAAAATATTCCTTAACCGGAAAAAAAAGAAAAGAAAAGGAAATACCCTCTTCTTTCACCCCAAAAAAAAAAAAAACAAAAACAAAAAAGGACTCTGATCGATCCTTTCGGCCTGCGTAATCCGAATCAACAGAAGAAGAAGAAAAGAAAAGCCGAACCACTCCATCTGCACCGTCCAATCGAAACCAATTCCCCAAAGAGATCCCAATTAAATTCGGGACATTGAATAGTGAGCGTCGGATCAAATTCCGACGCCCACTCTTTTATTTATTTAATTTAATTCAATAGTAATATAAAAAGCAGCACAGCCATTCGCTTCCAACCAACGCAACGCAACGCAACGCAGAAACAAAAACAAAAGAAGGAAAACTCACAGAAGAAACCTCTCAGCCTTCGACACACGCAGTAAGAATAGAAAGAAACCCGCAAACAACCATGGCGGCAACCGTCAGCGCGTGGGCTAAACCAGGCGCGTGGGCACTCGACTCCGAAGAAAACGAAGCCGACCTTCTCCAGCAACACAATCAAGACTCCCTCACCGGCGTCCATCTCTCCAACGGCGCCGCCGCCAACTCTGCTCCCACTGCCGACTTCCCATCCCTTGCCACCGCCGCCGCCACCAAGCCCAAGAAGAAAAAGGGCCAAACCCTTTCCCTTCAGGAGTTCTCAACTTTCGGCGCCACCCCTAAGCCGTCTTCTTCGTCCTCGTCTCAACCCTCCAGGGGTCTTACCCACGATGAACTCTTGGCTCTCCCAACTGGCCCCCGCCAGCGCTCCGCTGAAGAGCTCGACCGCAACAAAGGCTTCAGATCCTATGGCAATAACTACGATAGGCCGGGAAGGGGCTCCTCCGACGAGCAGCCTCGCCGTCCGAGGGATTCCAGCAGGGATTTAGAGCCTTCCCGTGCCGATGAAATTGACGACTGGGGTGCCCTGAAGAAATCTACCGCTGGCAACGGTAACTTGTTTGAGCGGAGGGAAAGAGGGGAGAGAGGAGGGTTCTTCTCGGATTCGCAGTCTCGTGCGGATGAAGTTGATAACTGGGCTTCGAATAAGACGTTTGTGCCCTCTGAGAGTCGGAGGAATGATAGAAGAGGAGGTTTTGAATCGAATGGCGGCGCTGACTCTGCAAACTGGGTGAAGAGGAAGGAAGAAGAGGGGAGGAAATTTGGATCTTCCGGTGGTGGGGCTTTTGATAGTTTGAGAGAGAGAAGAGGTGGGGGTATTGATTCTGCTAATGGCGGTGGGCCAGATTCAGATAGCTGGGGACGGAAGAAAGAGGAGGTTGCTACTGCAGGTGGGAGGCCGAGGTTGAATCTGCAGCCTAGGACACTACCCGTAGGTGAGCAGAATGAGAGTGTAGTGAAGCCTAAGGGGTCAAGCCCATTTGGCAGCGCAAGGCCAAGGGAAGAGGTTTTGAAGGAGAAGGGGCAGGACTGGAAAGAGATCGATGAAAAGCTTGAGTCTGTCAAGATTAAAGAGGCAGTAGCCGCAGTGGAAGAAAAGCCAGCTTTTGGGAAGAGAGGTTTTGGTAGTGGTAATTGGAGGGGTGGCTTCCAGCAGGAGGAAAAAAATGAGAGAGCTTGGAGGAAACCAGAGCCACAGCCCGAGGATGCTCGCCCTCTGAGGTCAGTGAAGTAGGCTTTGGATTGAATTTAGTTGCTCTTAACTGCTTGGGTTTACTGATTACTGTTTGAGTTTAGTTTCGTTTTGTTGGTCTGACTAAATTGATAGGTGTCCTGCTTGAATTGTTTAGGCTATGTTGAAAGACTTGATGTCATGAGTTTGTATAAGAAGTTAAATAAGTGATTGGAGACAATCTTGAATGGGGCAAGTTTTACTATGGACATTCCAACCAATTTAGTACTGGGGGGGTTTTAAGGTAATGGAAGCTTTTGATAGAAACTTTTGTATAATGGGGGGCTATCGTCAAATTGGCTAGGTCACATTTTGCAATTTGTATCTGCAGCTTAACGTGTGGTGTATCATTTTTCATCTCGACGTGGTTTTACATTCATAAAAATGGTTGTTTACTTGTATTTGCGTGATAGCCATCATTACTTAGGACACGTTCATGCAGAATCCTGTCTACTTTTTACGAAATTCTTAGGAGTCTTTGTCTTCATTTGATTTGCCTTTTCTTCTCTATATGGATCCTTAGGTAGTCTTTGTCTTGGTTTGATTTGCCTTTTCTTCTCTGTACTGTTTCTTTTTTTTTTTTTTTTTTTTAATTAATTTGACAGCAGTCGCTTATCAGTTCCCCTGAGATTGTTATGGTCCTGGTTTCATTAGTTGTAAATTGTACATCATGTGACGGACAACTGTAGTATGGTACATACTTGAGTGAGTGAATCTTTTTTTTGTACCCAGATGTCTTTTTCATTTTTTATTTTTGTGCTTGATGGATTTGGAGCAATCATAGGTTCCATCATCTTTAAAGAGCTCGATACAGCTGCAAAGCTTGATTTTGTTTTGCCCCAACTTGTGATACATGTCTTTTATTTTGGTTCTTTATTTACTGTTTTTTCCCCCTTTTTTGTGTGCTGTGGTTAATATTTGGCAGGAAGAATACACAACCGTCTACCATTCTTCTTTTCCTGTTCCTTTTTTTGGGTGGTTCAGTTGTATTTCTATTGTTTGGTCTTGATATCTTTCTGCTTGTGTTGACCAGAGGATTCAAGGGTTTTTAAGCTCTACTGACTATCAGTGTGTGTAGGTGCTGTAGCTTGCGTTTAAAAGTGAGAGCGACATAAGAAGTCGGTTTGTTAGTTGGTCTGCATAATTTAAATGTTGCATTTTATTTCATTTTTCCAGTTGGATTTTCTGATAAACGTTTTATTCTCTGGCTTTTTTTTTTTTTTTTTTCAAGTTCCAGTGCTGAAAAAACAGAAGATGTACCAGTGGAAGAAGCTGAGGATAAAAGCTCACAAATGTGATGCTGAATTTGAGATTGGGAGGGGATTGAAATACGCAGGTTTCTGTGTCTTTGTTTTGTGCTTTGTGCTCTGACTGGAGCTCATTTTGAGGGGGACATGATTGAGGAGGCAGTTTTGGTAGGAAACTGAGTAGACTATTTGTTTTGAGGCCTAATGGCTGGCTGGTTGGTAGTGGGTGTGGTATTTTATTTATTAGTAAAAACAAGTTTTGTTGTTACTGGATGTCATATTATTATTCTTTGAATCTGGTCCGTCCGCTCAATTCTGTTGTTACTCTACATAACAGATTCAAATCTTTCCATGTTTTTGTTTACGAGTTTCGCCGCATTGTTTGATGCGTGAATGTCTACTCGCCGCATGTTTTGGAAAATTTTTTTTTTTAAACAAAAAAATTTTTGCATTGCTTTGTGTGGGTGGAATCTTGAGAGGGAGGGGGAAAAGTGCTATAGACCAGTTGTTTTAGTAAAACTTGGAATTGCTGAACGTTAATGTGTGTAACAACAAACCGGAAAAACTGTTACAACGACCCGCAATGAGTGGAGGTCCTGAATTCACGAGTTGGTTCTCTGTTGATGATCTTCATTCCTTCCACTTCCAAGTTGTTATTGGCTGAGTTATTGCAAATTGTTTTGCGCCTATAGGGTTACTTACGACGCACAAAACAAACACGTAATCGAGACACAAAACTTCCCTTCAAAAACTCAGCGTCATAACCACAATTACTACTACTATTAACTAATCAACTAAAACACGGCTGTGACGTGCGAGAGAGCAGCCGAGTTTTACCATTACAATGCCAAAAATATCTCATCAGCTGAATTCACAATTCTTAAGTCCAGTGCTTGTGTGAATCAACAGATCGAATGAGCGGAGAAATATTCCCCAGGGGAGGGGACCCAATTCTCCTCAATCGCAGTAATGTTCCTTGCAGATTTAATAACCGCCAACTACAAGAAGCTTCGGACACATGTAGTGGTAAAAATGCATTCCACGAAATCCTCTTCTTTTCATTGGAAAGAGACCGGCCTACACCGACACGTGCCGCTCTCAGGGGAACAAACCGCAAAAAGTCTCTTAATCACTTATCTCATTCACCAGGTAGGTGGTGTTCTTGACACGAGCTGATTGATAAAAGACAGAAATTTGATGGCAATAATCTTTATTAGCTAAGGCTGGATTATAGGAGGAGAAAGCCTCGAGTGCAATGCAAATCAAGCAACCTTGTCGGAGCATACCTCATACACGACGAGTTTCAATGCTGAAAATGGATTTTAAGGGCACGCATGATCATGAAGTATTCCTAGCCTACTCGGTATCGCAAAGCAAATATTGGGTATTCTTTCACTTGTCGGTGCAATTCAAGTCACCAAGGACTTGACAATGCATTGAAAAGGATTCCAAATTTCGTCTCCCTCTCTCTTTTAGCAGCAATGCAGATGGAAGAAGGCATACATGGCTATGAGCAGGATGCATGATAACGCAGATTATGCGAATCCAGCTCCTAACACTGCCTAGAAAGGAGTGTTGTCCCGAGCTGCAAAGCATGCAAATACGATGCCGCAACTGAAGGCAACGGGTTACAAAATTTATTGCTATAACTGCATTTTTTCGCTGGATCCTAATAATTTCACCAGCCTTAAATGAAGGTCTCCGTACCATCTATATTACAGCGAATGTGGCTCAACATCCCCCATAAATGGAGACAGTTGAGTGTTGAGGTGAAGCCACCCCACCTTCTATTAAATTCTGGTCCTTTTTCTTTTTAACTTTTAAGAGTCAGCTAGCACTCGTTCACATTCACATTTCCACAAACCCTCAAATGTTTACATTCCCAGCGTTACCAGCACACACACACACACAGTAGTATATATACTCAAGTTTTACGCTTTGTAGCTACCACTGCTCTCCAAAGACAATAATAGGTTCTCAAGTTCCATGGATTGGTCAGACAAGCTCTGCTTTGCAGCTTTACTGATTGCTGCTGCTGTCATACATGGCACCAGTGGAGATACCACGGTAACTGGCACCGTCTTCTGTGACCAATGCAAAGATGGCCAAATATCCCTCTTCGATTATCCCCTTTACGGTAAGATGAGTAAATTATCGGTACATTTTCTTGTTAGAATCCTCTATCAAAATTGACTGGTGTTCAGTAAAAATGCGAACTTTAAATCCTCGCTTTAACATTTTGATCACATTATATCTGTGCTGTCAGTTATGTGATAATATGCTCTCTACGAGTATTCATTTCACCACCCTTTTTTTTTTCTTTCAATGCAGGCATAAAGGTAACGATGGCCTGCCCTGGCAGTAACGGACAACTGGCAGCATGGAGAGAAGAAACAACGAACTGGGTAGGAGGTTACGCGATGAGGTTCGATGGCACACCAGATTTGAGAGGTTGCTATGCTCAAGTTTCGGGCGGGCAAGGTTCATCAGGCTGCGGGGCAGCAGCTGGTCCGCCCAAGTCTCTCAGATTAATGTTCAACATGTTCGATATGGAAATGTACGTTGTTGATCCCCTGATTTCTCAGCCTGCACAACCCATGTCCTTCTGCCCCGGGTCCACCTCTCCCGTACCAGCACCCGTAAACCCTGCATTACCTCCTCCGGCAACCTCATTTCCCCAACCACCGCCTGTGGCACGATCAACTCCATTGCCGCCAATTCCATTTGTGGAAGCTTCAGCTTGCCCGTATCAGTAAGTTCATACCCGATGGCTAAAACTGTAGCCATGGGAGTTTTGGATGTAGGACCATACCAACTTTTTTTTTTCTTTCTTTTAAAGAAACGGGGGATTGATTTCTTTTTTTGGGGGGGGGGGGGGGGGGGGTTATTTTTGTTAATTGTCTTCAATAAAGATTAGTAGAATTATAATGCTTATTGTGGCACATATTTACAAGAGCTCCTGTGCAGAAAGTGGATAATGGCAGAATACAGATGCCACTGGAAGGTGGTGACACCAGACACAAAGGTGGCGGTTGCGTTCGGATTGATAGCTGCGCAGAGATATGGGACGGACTTGACGCTGTGGAGAGGGTTGCAAGGGAAAGGGGAAGCTTATAGGACCCTGCTGAGAGAAGGGACGGCTGCGCTTCTGAATTCCTACAACAGCATTCAGTTTGCTTACCATCCTCTGGCCGTAATTGAACATATGAATTGGGCGTTGACGGGTTCTTCGGAGCAAGTTTTAGGCACTGCTCTCAAATTCACGAGGGCCAACTCGGGCAACGCTCATCTTTCCTGTACGCTTTCTCCTTGCAAGTCATGATTTATCACTACCACTCCAATCAATAGTCATTCCTTTTGCTGTATCCATTTTTCAATGTTGGACTTTGGATCCTCCTCTTATATTTCTACACCTCCTCGTATTTTGTAGCACTTTTTCATACCATAGTAGCAAGCTCCAGCTTGTATTTATCATTAATTCCAGGTTTTATTTTAAAAGTTACAAATATGAGTTGAGCTTTTAACTTTTAAGGGCTGGTGATTTATGCCAGCTTCGTATTGCCAGACTTAAAGCTACATGCTTCTTAAATGCTCCCTGCATGAGATAGAGATGAGATGAGATGAGATGGGTTCATTCTTTTATATCTTAACTCTTACAGTTGCATGTGTCAGGGGGGAAACATTTTGAAAAAGTTTGATATGTAAGTTAGAAATCCAATTCTGACTCAAAAACTTGACTTATTAAGTCTTGAATCTTTATATATATATATTAAGTTCTCTTTTTTCATCTCTTGAATCAACATGGGACATAATCTTTATTTATGAATCTAACGGCATGACACATATACTAACTAATTGCATTGATGTAGGGCCTCCGAAGCACAAAATAATATTACGATTGAAGATTTCTTCTCTATTTTTTTTAATAATAATAATAAGGGGACCATTTAACCACAATTATCTGGTAAGTTTGCGAATGTCTTTCGGGCGCACGATTGTTTGTCGCTTCAAGTTCAACGACTCAATTATCTTGGCCAGGAAGCTGACAAGTTTTTTTATCAAGTTTGTTTGCTATAAGTTTTTTAAAAACTTTAGTTACAGTAACTTCAAAAAATTTTTCAAAATTTTTTTAAAAAATATACTTCAAAAATTTTTTTAAAAATTTTTACAATAAATTACAGTAAAATTTTAAATAAACACCTAAAAAATTCACTTGCCAAACGCGCCTGTACAGTTTCTTTGCACAAACAAAAAGTTGTGTACAGGAAGGTTTGTTTCTTTCATTTCCCGGAAATTTTTTTTCCCTATGAAGGTCAAAGTAAACAACTTCTGCGCTCAGTTACCGTCAACTTCAGTCGTCCTTGATTGGAGCCAATTTTCCAATGACATCAAGTAGTTTAATTAAAAAAATAAAATAAGACCCACATCTCCTCAAGATTCAGACACGAGTCCATTTGCAAGAATTAATAAAAGGAAAAATGACCAATTCAATCCCTAAATCTTTTCACTAATATCGATACAGTCCCTAATTTTTATTTTTAACCAATTTAATATGTGAACTAAGGCATTCTTTGAATTGCATTTTTTGTAGAAAAATTATTGTATCGATTTAATATACATGAGATGAAAAGATGATTGAAAAATATATTTACGAAAATTATAGCAATTTTTCTTTAGTGTCCAAACAAAGCCTCAGATCCAATTAAAACCTTCTATGGCGGCACCACCGTCTAGAAGCAATTTGCTCCTAATTTAACAATTCAACAAGAGCATTTTAAGAACATTAAATTGTCTCCTCTCTCCACCATCAATCTCTATTAAACGCCATTCATCCCCTTCTTCTTCTTCCTTGGTTTTGAAAGGAGGAGGAGGCGATGGAGATTGATGGTGGGCAAAGGAGATCGACTAAAATTTCCAGAATGTTTCTATTTAATTATTAAATTAGGAGTCAAATTATTTTTATATGGCGGTGTTGCTGCATAAGATCTTAATTGGATTCAGAAATTAAGTTTACATATCAAATTGATCAGAAGTAAAAGTTAGAGACTAAATTAACATTAGTGAAAAAGTTTAGGGATGAATTTGGCTATTTCCTCATTAATGAAATGACATCGAAGCATTGGCCATTGGCAAAGAGTGGACTTTTATAGCTTAGAGAGCATCAACAATTGAGCCCGTTCAAAACTTCACAGAACAAATGGACGCCAAACGCCAATTTTCTCTGCCATTAAAGCTAATCTTATTCTGTATTTTAGGAACAACAGGAATTTGCGTTAGTCTGAGCAGCACCAATATCATCAATCGGCAAGCCCAGTTTGTGGAGGATGAGGATTTCAAGATTGAAGAAGCCAGCATCCCAGATATCCAGCGGGCCTTCGCCTCAAAAAAGCTCACTTCAAGACAACTGGTTGACTTCTACTTAAACCAGATCCACACCCTTAATCCGGTGCTTCGCGGGGTAATTGAAGTGAACCCGGAAGCTCGAGATCAAGCAGACGAGGCTGATCGTATTCGAGACAGCATCAATTGCAATGCATCATACTCGACGTCCTTGTTGAGTGATATGCATGGAATTCCTGTGCTCCTCAAGGATAGCATCAACACTTATGATAAACTCAATACTAGTGCTGGGTCGTATGCCCTGTTGGGGTCAAAGGTGGCTCGAGATGCCGGGGTGGTGGAACGCCTCAGGGAAGCCGGGGCCGTCATTTTGGGCAAGTCCAGCATGAGCGAGTGGTACCAGCTTAGGGACCCGAGGCTCCCCAGTGGCTGGTGTGCTAGAAGTGGCCAGGGTCTGGTTAGTTTTTTCAACTAGTATATAGTATTTTGTTTTGTGTTTTGTGGTTTTTTTTTTTTTGGCTCCTGTTTGTTTTCTGACTTCATTGTTTGACTTGCTTCTTAAGTTCTAACACTAGTAATAGTTGTGAGACCAAACAGTTTCGTGATTTAATTCCAATGTTCAGTATGTTTAAATTTTAATGTCTGATTCAGCTCTATACATTTAAATGCAACTAAAGAAATTTGAGGGCATACAGTCTGCAGTCTTTTAGTTTCTCTAAAGAAAAGAATGGTCTGGAGTACTTATGAGCATTAAAGAAAGGTTCAAAAATTTATTGGATTTCATTTTTGACCAATATATTTCCAGTTGCATTTTACAGACTTCTCTATTTAAACGCTCTCATACTTTGCTTGCACTGCCCTCAATGCCAATTGAATCGCAACGGATCTTCTGTCCCACACCCTGTGTCATTCTCTGTCCCACTTTTTATTATATTGCTATTTCTCCTACATAAATAACATGTTTTAATTCCTTTTTGCTTCCTTAAGATCCAATAACTATTAATTAAGTAAAAAATAAATATAACAGCTTCAAAAAAGCAATATATAATAGAAAATTAAAAAATACAGCAAAATATTCATAAAAAATCTTATTTTTTATGCATTTGATTTTTTGAGTTTGTTAAATTTTGTGTGTTACTCAATTAATAGTTATTGGATCTCAAGGAAGCAAAAAAGAATTAAAACATGATGTTTATGAATGAGAAATAGCAATATAATAAAAAATGGGACAGAGAATGGCACAGGATGCGGGACAGAAGATCCGTTACGCCAATCGAAACCTCCGTCTTGTGATCACAGGTGTAATATCTTGCATACATGACTGTTATTGTAAGTCAGAAACAAATCAGCACATTTCTAAAAGAAAAGAGACAAAACTAAAAATTCTTACTAGCTGTGCCTGAACATTCTATGTGCGAAATCAATTGGTGATGTTGTGGGATGTGCAGAATCCTTATGTGCAAGGGGGAGATCCTTGTGGATCCAGCAGTGGATCTGCAATATCAGTAGCGGCAAATATGGTGGCCGTTTCACTGGGCACTGAAACAGATGGGTCTATCCTCTGCCCTGCTGATTCCAACTCTGTTGTAGGCTTTAAACCCACTGTTGGACTAACTAGCCGCGCTGGAGTCATACCTGTTTCACCCCGGCAGGACACAATTGGGTATTTACTTTCTCGTTTTCATGTGTTATTGCATGATATAACACTCTACCATTTGTAACTGTTCGAAAGGAACAAGTTAATAGTTGGCAGTCGTCAAATGTGATATTGATATTAAGTTTTCTGAACAAAAACAAGATCATGAGAGGTTATGTTAAATAGCTTCTGAATAACCATAAGATTTGCAATATTTTTTTATGTTTAGACTGAAAGATAGCATTTGGAGAAAATACAGAATAAATGCTCCGGCAAACTTCTGCCTGCATGTTTTTGTACCGACTCTTTTGGCTTTGAGGCTGATGCTTGCTTCTTGTACTCAATTGCAGCCCAATATGCAGAACAGTTTCTGATGCTGTTTACGTGCTTGATGCAATTGTGGGGTTTGATCCAAGAGACCATGAAGCGACAAAAGCAGCTACGAAGTTCATTCCTGTTGCTGGCTATAAGCAATTCCTCAACAAAGATGGGCTCAAAGGGAAGAAATTGGGTGTGCTAAGAAATCCCTTTGTCAACCTTTCGAATAGGTCCAATGCGGTTCCAATTCTTGAGAGTCATTTGCGCACATTAAGGTACAAAAGTGATATTCTACTAGTTATAGGCCAGTGCTTTTACTTAGTTAACATGTTCATTTCTTCTACCTGAAAAAATTGAAGCCAGCAAGGTGCAACTATTATTGATGATTTGGAGATATCCAATATTGGTGTCATTTTAGACCCATTTCAAAGTGGTGAGACTGTAGCAATGCTGGCTGAATTTAAGCTCTCCCTCAACGATTATCTGCAAGGCCTGACTGAATCCCCTGTGCGGTCGTTGGGTGACATTATAGCATTCAACAAAAACAATCCGGATTTGGTATTTTGGTTGTCTAAAATTGACATCATATTACACGATTAAATGGTCAGCAACATCTCAAATGAAGACTAACACATTTCTCATTAACTCATGGTTTTGCAGGAGAGTTTTGGTGACTTTGATGGTCAAGATTTTTTCATTGTAGCGGACTTCACAAATGGGATTGGTGAGCAAGAAAGGAAGGCAATAGAGTTGATGGAAAAGTTGTCAGGAGACGGCTTCGAGAAATTGATTTTGGAGAACGATTTAGATGCGGTGGTGACATTAGGTTCATCAGCAGCAAGAGTTTTGGCAATTGGAGGGTATCCTGGAATCACTGTGCCTGCCGGCTATGATAGAGATGGGATGCCGTTTGGGATGCTTTTCGCTGGTTTGAAAGGGATGGAGCCGAAGCTAATTGAGATAGCTTTTGCTTTTGAAGAAGCTACCATGATCCGCAGGCCCCCCATCTACAGATCAGTTGAATTTATTTGAAATGCTTTCCACTGCGTCTTTGATCTCAGGCATGCGATTATGAGGTTCAATAGTGTAATAGTAAATGGAATTTCATTTCTTCTAAAACTTAATGTTCACATAGACGGGAATATTACTAATTGCAAAAGCAAGAGAAAGTGGTGTATTCGGAGTTCGTTAAATACTATTGCTGCCCTTCTCTGCTAGAAGATTGAATTCTGTGAGCGGAGTATTGTTCTGGATAACAGGTAAAAAACACAGTGCCACGAGCCCATTAATCTTGCTTTTCCATTCGAAAGCAAGTGGAGCATGTTCTTTGTGGAAGATATCCACTAGCATCCACCATTTCTTCAATTTTGTCTCGTCGTAAATGAAACCCTTCACTTATTGGCGGCCTTTGCTTTTTGAAGTCGTCGAACGAAATGTCTTTATTATGGGAAGCATGGTCAAGCAAACAATAATGGAGGTTGGATATACGAGTGAACTGCAACATGGAGAAACAGTACATGGTTTGGTTATTATATAATTGGTAGCTAAGCTCGAGATATCCAGAAATAAAAAGCGAGACAAATAGTTTCTTTCTTTGATATCAAAGTATAGCAATTGACATGGATATCGCGCTACTACTTTTTGTGAGTGCTACTATTTTTGGCCTCAGTCATAACGCTGAAGGGAGTCCATTCTCTTTCAGAGAAGCTGCTGTGCGTGATATTAGGATTGCCTTGGACCATAGCAGACTCACTTCTCGGGAATTGGTTGAATTCTACCTCAAACAGATTCGAGGACTAAATCCAGTTCTTAATGCAGTCATAGAAGTGAATCCGGATGCTCTTTGTTTGGCCGACAAGGCAGACCGGGATCGAAGAGCTAAGAAACCAGGCTCCGTGACAGGACTGGCTGGTATCCCAATTCTGCTCAAGGACAACATTGCAACCAAGGACAAGCTTAACACAACAGCTGGATCTTATGCACTTCTAAGATCAGTTGTACCTCAGGATGCAGGGGTGGTCAAGAAGCTAAGGAGGGCTGGTGCAATCATATTAGGAAAGGCTAGCATGACAGAGTGGGCTGCTTACAGGTCACCCGGTGTGCCTAATGGCTGGAATGCTAGACGTGGCCAAGGTGTGGTGAGTTGCTGATATGTTCATTTGTTTTACAATTGTCCCAAAAAAGTACAGTTTTTTCCTTTTTACCACACGATATCACAGATTCTATTTCATCAGAAGAATGGTCACAAAGTTGGAGCAACTGCTCCATCATCATTTCTGACTAAACAAGTTAACCATAGAAGAAAGGAATCTCGCTTCACTAATCAAAGTTTAAAGCAAATTTTGCTAAATGGAGACTAACATAGCTACCTTCCCTCTCTTAATAAAGGAAAGATGACATTTACTAAAACTCTGCTTAAGCTTCCAAATATCCTCCACTATTGTTCCTATTACTGGACCCAACGTACCACGCTCCTTTATCTTATCCACAACCTTTTTACAATCTGATTGAACCATAATCCTCATCAAACCTTCCTGTTTGGCCTTCATGAGTGCATGGTCAGAAGTTTTTTTTTCTTTGTTTTGCGTTTTCAACCATTATATAGTTCGGGAGACAAAAGTTGAGTCCTTACGCAGGCTTTCCAGGTCAATTACAAAAGCCAGTACTCATTAGTGATTGGGAAAGGATGTTGCAATATTTAGACTGCCTCTTTTCTCATATGTGATTAAAGGATGAACCAAAACAAATTGAGTACTTTTTTTTTGTTTTGCTAGGTGTAATCCATTGGACATATATCCAATTTTTCAATATATAACCCTGTATTACGGTTCTGATTCCGTGTAGAATCCTTATCATAAATATGCTACTTCATGTGGATCAAGCACCGGTTCTGCAACATCAGTAGCAGCAAACATGGTTGCAGTTACACTGGGCACAGAAACATCTGGATCCATTTTATGCCCTTCCAGTGTTAATTCGGTGGTGGGAATCAAACCAACTGTAGGGCTCACAAGTCGAGCTGGTGTTGTCCCTATTTCACCTCGACAGGACAGTGTTGGGTAATGACTAATGAGAGATGCTTAATTTGCTTTTATTTCAACGATCTCTTATTACCATATAGTATAAACTTCAAATTAGTATCTTTACGTAGCTATGAACCTTAATTTTGTTTCGTGAAAATGACAATGAAAGTACGTAGTCGCAAAATCATAACAATACCTTTATGGGGGAGAGCAGGCCGATATGCAGGACTGTGTCGGATGCAGTGTATGTTCTTGATGCCATTGTTGGTTTTGATCCTGATGATGCAGTAGCAACCAAAAAAGCTTCAAAGTATATTCCTCGTGGAGGTTATTTGCAATTTCTCAAGTCTGATGGACTCGAGGGAAAGAGATTGGGGATTCTACGGTGCTCCTTTGTGGGATTCAGCAACTCCTCTGAAGAATTGAATGCTTTTGAACCTCACTTCCACATTCTGAGGTATGTTCACTCACATAAACTTTGAAACTCTAACATGCCTAATTGATAGCTTACCGTGGGTTGCCAGGGAAAGATGACTGAAATTTCTCTGGCAGGTGAACATATCTGTACACTAATAAAGTAGCTAAATTACTAGCTATCACAAATTTCGTAGTTTGTTCTTTGAACAGAGTCTTGATAATTACTAACCGTTCAGCATGAGGTTTGGATGATTCAGGGAATATATAGAAAATCTTGTTTTGGCTAGATATGGGGAGCCCATTTCAATACAATTAAAGTTGTGACATATTATTCTGAAATTTTGACTAAAACAAGGCAACGAGGTGCAGTCTTAGTAGACATTACGGATACAGCCAGCTTTGACTCTATTGTAAGTTCAATGTTCAATGACCAATTCACTGCCATGAGGGTGGAATTCAAGCTGGCACTGAATGCTTATCTACAGCAGTTGATCACCTCTCCTGTGCGATCCCTAGCTGATGTAATAGTCTTCAACAAGAAGCACACAAAATTGGTAAGCAACATAACCTTTTCAATTATATATACTCGGCCAGAATGCAATGGCCGGCTCAAGTGTATCCACAGCCTTTTGTTAGAGACACATTACTCTCGGACTACTGGATTCTGCTTTAGGAAAAGATTGAAGAGTACGGGCAAGATAACTTTGAGGAAGCAGAGAAAACCAACGGTATTGGCAGAGTGGAAAGGGAACTACTGCATAATTTAACTGGAGCTTCCAAAATTGGGTTCGAGAAGTTGATGAAGGACTATAAATTGGATGCCTTGGTGACACCTGCGCCCAATATCGTTTATGCTATCTCCGCCGGAGGATACCCTGGAATAAATGTTCCGGCAGGTTATGACACTGATGGCACCCCATACGGCATTTCATTCGGCGGGCTAAAAGGATCGGAAGCAAAGCTGATAGAGATTGCATACGACTTCGAACAAGCCACAAAGATCAGGAAGCCACCTCCACTTTTAAGAAATCACATTAAGACGTACAACTGAGCTGCATTGGAGATTAACGTCTTCAACTGCAGTACAACTTGTAAAATTGTGGAATCTTTGCTTGTGTCACTCTAAATAAAATTTGATATTTCCTCCGTATTATTCATACAGGAGGGGTGATTTTCAAATGTTGTCTGTGGACTATAGACACTAGCATAACAACCCAATAGAGACGATGGAGAACCCAAAGAAAAGGACTACATTTCAAGATTAAAACCATGCGTAGCTGGCTAAATCTGAAGCCATGCAAATAACATAACTGTGGTAAAAATTTGTGGACTATTCAGCTGCATTAGAGGCTAGGAGTCCCAAATCCCGACAGATCAAATTGATTAGCAGTTTATACACCGTTTACTTTTACCATAATACACCAAAATTACATGCTTAGATGTACGCATCAACCACCAAACGAACTGTTGCTTGTAAATCAATGAATAAATGGGCTTGTAAATCAAAGCCCTGCTGTTACTTGTAATGCACAATTTACCTCTTGGCTCATTTTGGTGAACATTATCTGTTGTTAGGCTCTCCAGCCAGGTCCATAATCTTGCACCTCTGTCTCAGCTTAGATATATCTTGTGCCGAAAGATTCTATATATCTACAGGAAAAAATAGGTGGGGTCACTCTTCCGTCCGGCTCAATGATTAACCTAAATATTTAGGTTGAATTGGTCAAACCCAATCAAAAACTGGTTGAACCGGTAAAAATTCGGAGGTTGAACTGGATTTCACTATTTTTTTTATTTTTTGAAACAATAATATTTCTGTTTTATTCAAAAACTTTAATGAGTAAAAAAAATTATTAAACTTTTGAATCGAAATTGAACTGTGAATCGCTCTCTGGTCCGAATTCAAAAACATAATTGCCAAGAAGAAGGAAGAGAAGGTGAGTATAGATTTTTTATTTATTTTTTGTAGGTTTCTTTTGAAAGGAGAATTTGGTTCCTCTTTTTAAATACCTTAATAGCTTAAAACATCACTACTTTCGCCAGTTGTGTTTAAATCCATCTTATAACAAATTATTTAAGCGGCTAATTATCAACTATATGATGTATTGGCAGTTGTTAGGAATCAAGGTCAACTTAATAGCTTAAAACGTGCAATTCTTTTATGTATCACCAAGATACATCCATCAAGATACTTTGTATCCGCTGTCCAGGGTGAAGCTGTGTAGAGTTGAGGATCGGCAATTACCCTTTTCCAACTTTCGAAAGATGCCCTCGATACAGTGTAAAATTCATTAAGTAAAATTTCATTAAGTTTCACCACTTGATCCTTAAAATAAAAGGAATGGGGTACAGATATCTATATCTATATGTATTGAGGAAGGGGTTTTTATCAAAGACCCTCTCAATGACTTCTAAACTTCTCATTCTTTTTTCTAGATTTTTGTATTTATTTTAATATATAAAAAGGGTGGATTATAATTAACCCTATCACCAATCAAATTTAAAATTTAAAACATTCCCACTATCTACTTCATAAATCGTTTATACTTTGTTATTTATATTTTAAATCATTTTTACTCCTTAATTAAAGACAAATGCTCATTCGTAAGCTATTTTAATACAATGTTACATTTTTATAATTAAAAAAATATTTATCCCCAAACTAACCCTATAACCACCCCTTCAAATGAGTTTTGCAAATTACAATCATGTTTCAAAAAATCACAAATTGAGAGCCCCTGCATTTCCCCTACTTTTCCACTCCAATTAAGAGTTCTCCGATTTAAAAATTCCACTCCAATTAAAATTCCTCCAAAACATAGAATTCTCATTCAACTTTCTTGTGTGCTCATTCCAATTAAAAGAACTTTCTTGCATTTTTCCCAAGAACTTATTATCTCCTTTAATTTTTTTATGGTATCCATCTTAATCCTTAACATAATTTAACTATGAAACATGCCTGCCTACAAGCATTTCAACGGCAGCTAAATTTCAAACTCGCAAGATTACAAAGAAGGAAACATTTGTTTAGAAAATGAAACGTACACCGCAACGATTCCACACAGCAGTTCGAAAAGTTTCAGCAATTTTGCGTTGACGAAAGAGAAATCTCACATCAAACTCGACTTAGTTTGTTTGCAACTTAGTTTGGATTCTTGGATTTCGATAACTATGTATAGTATTTGATATTGTCATGATGATAGTTTCTGTATCTTTAGGCCAAAAGAGTTAATGTTTCTTATCACAAAAAGATAGTCATTATCTGATTCTTTGTCACTTTGGTCTGCATTGTAATGACATGATCGACACTGTTGTTAGGTAATTAATTTCATGTAATTTTAATTTCAACATATTTTTCTGTATTGTATATAACATTTTATTTGTCAAACAGGTACAATGTTGACATACAAATCAGAGATTCCAGTGGTAACATGCATCTTAATCTACAAGACAGACATGCACGATTCGTATTTGGTCGTGATGCTTCTTATCTCATAGAAGATAGGTAGAATTTCTTGATATATATTTATTTTTTATAATGCTATTTATAAACTATGTAAAAAAATACACTAATTTTGAATTTCGTACGTACTTAATTCTCAAAAAAAATGGTGATAGGTTGTTCAACCAACAAATCAATTCATGCAAAGATCGTATATTTTCATTTGTAGTACGCACTCCACAAAATTCAACTGAATTAATTAAATCACCAATTTTGGCTTTTGTACTAAAAGTTGATTTGTGTGAAGAGTGTTCGCACCTTTAGGCAAGATTATTAAATCGAATGCATAATATTTGTAAGTATTTCATTTTAACAACATTCAATTACATTCATTTTTGTTCATATATCATTCATTTTCTAAAATAAATTTTTATTATTTTTTTAGAATCTATCTTCCGAAAAAGGCAGTTCTTGAATGATATGCATATTCTATCATATTTCAAACTATTGTTAGACAAATATTACATTTTAATTGTGTTGGTACAATTTTTAAACCTTTTTTATTCACCATCTTATTTTTACTTTTTCAATAATGCCAGCACGTGCGTATTACGAGTATTCACACTAGTGTAAAGCTAAACTATAATAGCCCACTAGCGCTTATGAGGGGAAAGCCGGAAAGACAATGTAGGAACCATGTATCTCTTCAGATGAATTTTTTCCTAATTTTTAGAGAAAAAATTATAAAACAATTTAACAACAAGTACCTATGATGCATGAATTCCATTTTGGTTTTTAGGAAAAAATTAAGAAATAACTAAATAATGGAAATAGGAAACAAAAGAATCATGAATTCCTTTCTAATTTATAGGGAAAAAAAATTAAAAAGAAACTAAATTGATTATAAACCTATAGAAACGTATCTCAAAATTTTAAATCAATTCACTTTAATTAAAGTGTTAAGAAATACATAAATCACAATTTGTTAAAACATCTTCGATCACATCTCTAGAAGAAGAATTGCCCACAAGTATGTATTTTTATCCTGGAAAGTTTTTTCCACGTCATACGGGTCAGTAAACATGAGTACTCATCTCGAAAACAATTATGAATGTTATGTATAATTTTATTATTTTACATTAGAATTAAATAAATATTGCACTTAATGATAGAACATTTTTAAAACAAAAAATTCCTCCGCAAACTTTGGGCCTCGGTTCAGGGTCCCAACTCCGCCACCTGCTTGTATTTGCACCAATAACAACAAATTGAAGTTACGTTTGCGCTAACTCTTCATTTCCTTGTACATCCTAAGATATATCATATCATCTGTAATTAATTCCCTATCCCTTATTTTTCGGTTAACCAAATCTGTTGCGTATGGAGCATTTATTATATATATTCTATACATCGTCGATCTCGCTAATCCAATCCAAAATCTTTCCAGTTTTCAGACAGGTCAAGAAAGAAAGAGGTAAGAGGAGAGAGGGAGGCATGGTGAGGCCAAGAATGAGGAAGACGACGTTAAGCTTCCTACTGGTGGTTTTCGCAATCGTCATGACGGCCATGGCCCCACCGGTTCATGGGCAGATAAACCCTGATGATCAAAGTCCCAAAGCCGTGGAACGTTGGTTCAAGAAGCTTGGGCATGCAAAACAAGAAAAGTTAACTAAGCTCCATTTCTATTTCCACGACATTCTTTCTGGGAATAAGCCCACAGCTGTGCAGGTGGCTCAGGCCAACATTACTTCTAAATCACCCACGTTGTTCGGAATTGTCAATGTAATGGATGATCCATTGACGGTGGGACCAGAACCCGATTCGAGAATCATCGGTTCTGCTCAAGGGTTGTATGCTTCAGCCTCGCAGAAGGACGTGGGGTTGCTTATGACCCTTAATTTTGTTTTCACCGATGGCAAGTATAATGGCAGCACTCTCAGTATTCTGGGACGCAATCCTGTGTTTCACAAGTACCGAGAACTGCCGATACTCGGTGGTTCTGGCGTTTTCCGGCTGGCACGAGGGATCGCCACTGCAAAGACGCATACGTTTAACGCTACAACAGGAGATGCCATTGTTGAGTACCATGTCATTGTTATGCATTATTGATCCCGATATGTACGTACGTGGTTTTATGTATTTGGTTTCTGACATTTTGTTTCCTCTAAACTATGGAGGTAAAATTTGTGGAGATACTTGCTGATGTTTGCCGAGTTTTCTTCCATCTTTTCAGGTGTAACTTTTTTTAATTCATTATACTCTTCGCTAGTAATGAAAAAAAAAGCAAGAAATTTCAATTTGTTTTTTGGTTACGACTGCGCTTACATTTACAGTTCTATTCATAAATTAAATTAGTATGCACGACTAAAATTTACTCGAACAAAAAGTCAAAAACACAGCTAGATGAACGTACATCAAATTGCGCAAAAATTGCTGTGTACCGGTCCAAGCCCAAACCCAGAATAGAAGCCTCTGCCGAACGGGGCTTTACAACTACTTTAACGCGGACCCTCTGTTAAAATTTTTGGCTATATATGAGGAATACTAGAATTAAAAATGACCCTTTCACGGTAGGGTCTTGAAGATGCAATTATTAGATGAAAAGGCCAAAATTAACGAAATATTCGGACAGTAAAACTCCTCTATGTCTTTGCTTTTCTTTTCTTCTCAATAAAATTTTTTCACGCAAAAGATAGATGTACAACTTAATTTAGTTCAAAGAAGGAAAATCGGGGCATTCTAGTTGGCATATCATTTCTCAGACTCAAAGCTAGCTGGCTCTTATGTTTAATGCTATGACGTTCACTTACGCCCTCTGAAGAGGTGATTCCTGGCTTGGAGAGCTGCACCGGGTAACTAGGATACCTTCCTATGTAAGATGCACCCGCTTGGATGTCACCTGCTCAGTTTATCAGAGGCGAGGCTAAATCCCCCGGTTTTTTTCTGACAATCTACTTAATTTAGGTAATAGGAAGTGGAGTAATATTACTGGAGAATAATAGGTTTCCTCTTACCAGACCCCCTTTCTTTGTGGGACATGTTGATATTTATATGGGACAATGTGGAGGGAAGGACAGTGGCATCCGAATCCCTAGAAATATGATTGAGACAGCGTATTAGTCTGACTAGACAACTCTGGACAATCTGTAGAGCGAGCCAGAGGTCTTGTCCACTCTGCAGACGTCAAAACACTGGACAGGACCTAAGTTGTAATGTCAGACATAACACCACTTCGAGATAGTGGGTTTGGTGATCACCTCAGCCATCCGTGGGCGGGGTATATCTGAGTTGATCAGGGCAGGTAGACATCCTCAACTGGTGAGCGCCTCGACTCGGTTAGACGGATCCGAGGCGACCGTCGTCAGGTGATCAGACGAGAAATGGGGCTCGGCCTGACTAAGCCGAGCTGGAATGACCATCCTCACCCTCCATTCCACTTGAATAGTTTGTTGGAAGTGTACATTTAGTCTACCGTTTTTCTAAAATACTTTTACATTATCCCTTTACATTAATTACAATAACAATATTGACGAAATGTTGCACTATTTAAGGCAATGAATGAACAATGTAGGTTATATCACTGATAACAAAGTACATTAAATAAGGACATTTTAAAGAAATTAAAAATTAATTATATTTTTTAATTGAAAAATGAATTATAATTTAAGACGGATGAAAAAGGAAAGCAAAACTGTCAAGTGGGGTTTTTTAAGCCATGCAACTCTATATAATAGGCGGCTGCTGGGGTGAATGAAATAGTCCAACGGATGCCTATGATGTCTTCTAAACAGTTGTTGGAAACGATGTCAACAACCCATGACGTGCAAAAATAAAAAATTTTAACACACTTGAAAAGTTCAAAATAGTTGGCTTGCTCTAAGGAGTAACGGAAAACATTTGAATAGCACTTCATTTGCAGTTGGGTACCAGGGGGATGATTGATGAGGTTTTATCGGTTTAATGGGAACTTGGAATTGTATATGTTTTAAAAAAGATTATACTTGTATGCACTTATTTAAATTATTGAGACATTAATTATGAGCTTTAGAAATTCAAACCACAGGAGGGAGACAACCTTGCGTACAAATCTTTCTTTTTCATATTTTAAAGTTCGTAGCACATGTTTCCATTCCATACAATAATACATCACAAGAGATTAGTTGTACCCGCCATTTTCGTTTTGGTCAACTATCGCTTGCTTACATCTCTAATTTCTGGGCACATACTGTATTAATATTTAATAGTACCAGATGGCCGCCCTTCTTCTTATCTTAGTAGTAATAAAATTGATAAAGGTAGCAGGACTGAGCTGAGCAGGAGGAGAGAAATCATCAGTTGGCCATTGTAGAGGGACGGACAAGTTTATAAGCACGAAGACGAAGAAGATGACAGCAGTGGTTGCAATGCTCTGGTGGGCGGTAATGTTGGGCGGCGTGGCAATGCCATTGGCTCGTGGCAGCAGCATTGATCAAAGTCCCCAGGCGGTGGAGAAATGGTTCGAAGAGCTTCCTCATGCAAAGGAGAAGCTGACAAAGCTTCACTTCTACTTGCACGACAACATAACTGCCCAGAACCCCACCGCTATTCAAGTGGCCCAAGCCAACATCACCAGCAAATCACCAACACTGTTTGGCGCAACTTTCGTCCTCGAGGACCCGTTGACCTTGGGACCGGACCCCAGTTCCAAGATCATAGGTCATGCCCAGGGTATGTATAGTTCGGTATCGAAAGAGGAAACCTCACTCATTCTGATCCTGAACTTGGTATTCACCCATGGCAAGTTCGAAGGCAGCACCCTCAGCCTTCTAGGCATCGATCCCATATTGCACCAGTACAGGGAGCTGCCAATACTGGGTGGTACTGGGGTTTTCCGACTGGCCCGCGGAATAGCCACTGCACAAACCTATACTTTCAATGCTACGACCCTTAATGCTATCGTTGAGTACCACGTTCTCGTTATACATTATTGACCCTGACGGCGACGGCATTCATTTGTTCCTCCTATCTTCCTTGTACCACTACTGCTACTTTTTTTTTTCTTCTTCTTCTTTTATTCCGGACTGAAATGGCTGAAATAACGGCGCAAGTATGAATAGGCTTTCTTTCTTTCCTTTTTTTCCCCACTTCCATCTGTTTGGTCGCTCTTTCTTAATAATACTGATGTTCAGCTAATAGAGAGAGCTTTTCCACCTATTTTCATTCCTTTTTCTGCCTTCATTGTTTGTTATTATTTATTTTCCTTAACCTTTCCTTTTCTTTTTTCTATTTGTATTACTTTTACACTATTGGCATAAAAATATTTGTTATTGTGTTTTCATCTTTTTTTTTTTTTTGCCCCACATATTGCAAGGATGACAATTTGTCATTTAGACAGCATCATCGTTAGGTTCGTTCGTTGGGTTCAGACATCCCGTCATAGATCACTTGGGATCCTTGGTGACGTGTTTTCTATGTCAATTCAATGTCACCTATAATATTGTGTCAAGTGTCCTGTTATTATTTACACTTTAATTTTCTAATAATTCAACTTGGTTTGATTTAACACAAGTGTAAATAATAACAGGACACTTGGTGCAATACTATAAGTGGCATTGGATTGGCATAGAAAAATATGTCACGAGGATTCCAAGTGGTCATAGAGCCCGACAAGTCATCTATCTCTCTTGCAGTCCAGTCCTGTGCCCACCTAATGCAACTTCTCATGTACTTGGGATCCTCGGTTACATTTTTTTCAATGCCAATCCAATATCACCATTAAAATTGCGCCAAGTGTCTTGTTGTCATTAGCACTTTAGTTTTTTTTTAACTCAAATTGATTCAAAGTTAACACAAATTTTCTTATTCTCTAAAACTTTGAACCAAAAAGCACTCGGCCGGTCTAACTCCTGCATCAATAATTTTGTACAGCTGCTGCTTTGGGAAAAAAGAATAAGAAAACCCTTTGTTTCGCAGCATCTCGGCCGAGAGACAGGTTTGAAACAGGAAAACAGCATTGTCCATAACATTCCCAAAGAACCAACTGTGAACATCCCAGAACACTTCCACCGGCAGTCCATCCACCAAAATAGTCTAGTTCCCTCTGAACTTCCACCGGAGCCGCTTCACCTGCAACACCGCTCTGTTATCCACGCTGATGGCCAGAGATGGATCGTTAATCCCCCCAGTATCGCACTCAATTTCGATGTCATGTATCGGCCCGTGGTCACAGAATTGAGCCTTTGTAGTGTATACTCTCTTCCCAAAGATGTGCTCTCTTTTGGCAATAAACACCGCATGAGATGCAACAGGGCTAGGACCTATTTTCTTATACACATCCTTTTGCAAATCCCCGAGGAGCAGGACAAGTTCTTGGTTAAATGCAACAGCTAAATAGAACCCCTCTAGCGGTTCCGGGCCAAAACCAAATTTTGCGGATGAAAAATCCCAATATATGTCAATTGCAGTGGAATTGGCCTCTAAACTTCTGAACCCTTTTCTTGGAGTAAATAACCAAGGCTTAATATCAACCTTGCAGACGCATTCATTGGTTGAACTCCGAATCCCAATGCTAACTCCTTGCCCCATCAAATTCTTGGACGAAAGAAATCCGAAACCAACTGATGCAGCGGATCCACGACACAAAGCTCTTGGGCTAATGGTTTAGTGGAGCACCATCGATCAAGCCACAAATGCAGGCAATCATCGGGAACAGAGGGTTTTCTTATTCTTTTTCCCCAAAGCAGCAGATTCCCCAAGGCAGCAGCTGTACAAAATTATTGATGCAGGAGTTAGACCGGCCGGGTGCCTTTTGGTTCAGAGTTTTAGAGAATAAGAAAATTTGTGTTAACTTTGAACCAATTTGAGTTAATAAAAAATTAAAGCTAATGACAACAAAACACTTGGCACAATTCTAATGGTGGCATTGGGTTGGTACTAAAAAAATGAAACCGAGGATCCCAAGTGCTTCTCACGGCGCATGTTAAAAAAACAACCGCAAATCCGAAACGGGCCTCTTCAGCTAAATTCTGTCTACTTCCATCTGATCGAAGTAATCTTTATGCTACTCCAATATCTAGTGTTAACTCGTACTGTTTTATATAATCGCGAATACGCTCTAACGTATAAATGGATAAATTTCATGATTATACCAAAATTATATATACGAATTCACATCGACTGGTAGAAGAATTACATCACCTGGATAGGCCCGAATCATCTGTGGCTCATTTACTAAGGTGCAGGAGTAAAAACAGCCGTTGACAGCATCTGGAACGTGACTACAGCAGATCCCTGCCGAAATTATGAGCCGTCAAATACGAGTAACATATTCTCAATGGATCCTATGCAGTCGTTTTTGCTTATAGATGAATTGGATTCTGCCTTCTCCTAAGAAACTTACTGTAACAAAACTACAAAACACAGTCCATAAGCCACATTCTTGGAAAACCTCAATGGCCATGATACTGCGAATCGCTCTACGGCCCGGGTTCAAAAACATTGTCAAAAAGAAGGAAGAGAAGGCAGGTATAGATTTTTTGTTTTTTTTTTTTGTAGGTTTCTTTTGAAAGGAGAATTTGATTCCTCTTTTTAAATACCTTAATAGCTTAAAACATCACTACTTTCGCCAGTTGTGTTTAAATCCATCATATAACAAATTATTTAAGCTGCTAATTGTCAACCATAGCTGTTGTTAGGAATCAAGGTCAACTTAATAGCTTAAAACGTGCAATTCTGTTATGTATCACCAAGATACATCCATCAAGATACTTTGTATCCGCTGTCCAGGGTGAAGCTGTGTAGAGTTGAGGATCGGCAATTACCCTTTTCCAACTTTCGAAAGATGCCCTCGATACAGTGTAAAATTCATTAAGTAAAATTTCATTAAGTTTCACCACTTGATCCTTAAAATAAAAGGAATGGGGTACAGATATCTATATCTATATGTATTGAGGAAGGGGTTTTTATCAAAGACCCTCTCAATGACTTCTAAACTTCTCATTCTTTTTTCTAGATTTTTGTATTTATTTTAATATATAAAAAGGGTGGATTATAATTAACCCTATCACCAATCAAATTTAAAATTTAAAACATTCCCACTATCTACTTCATAAATCGTTTATACTTTGTTATTTATATTTTAAATCATTTTTACTCCTTAATTAAAGACAAATGCTCATTCGTAAGCTATTTTAATACAATGTTACATTTTTATAATTAAAAAAATATTTATCCCCAAACTAACCCTATAACCACCCCTTCAAATGAGTTTTGCAAATTACAATCATGTTTCAAAAAATCACAAATTGAGAGCCCCTGCATTTCCCCTACTTTTCCACTCCAATTAAGAGTTCTCCGATTTAAAAATTCCACTCCAATTAAAATTCCTCCAAAACATAGAATTCTCATTCAACTTTCTTGTGTGCTCATTCCAATTAAAAGAACTTTCTTGCATTTTTCCCAAGAACTTATTATCTCCTTTAATTTTTTTATGGTATCCATCTTAATCCTTAACATAATTTAACTATGAAACATGCCTGCCTACAAGCATTTCAACGGCAGCTAAATTTCAAACTCGCAAGATTACAAAGAAGGAAACATTTGTTTAGAAAATGAAACGTACACCGCAACGATTCCACACAGCAGTTCGAAAAGTTTCAGCAATTTTGCGTTGACGAAAGAGAAATCTCACATCAAACTCGACTTAGTTTGTTTGCAACTTAGTTTGGATTCTTGGATTTCGATAACTATGTATAGTATTTGATATTGTCATGATGATAGTTTCTGTATCTTTAGGCCAAAAGAGTTAATGTTTCTTATCACAAAAAGATAGTCATTATCTGATTCTTTGTCACTTTGGTCTGCATTGTAATGACATGATCGACACTGTTGTTAGGTAATTAATTTCATGTAATTTTAATTTCAACATATTTTTCTGTATTGTATATAACATTTTATTTGTCAAACAGGTACAATGTTGACATACAAATCAGAGATTCCAGTGGTAACATGCATCTTAATCTACAAGACAGACATGCACGATTCGTATTTGGTCGTGATGCTTCTTATCTCATAGAAGATAGGTAGAATTTCTTGATATATATTTATTTTTTATAATGCTATTTATAAACTATGTAAAAAAATACACTAATTTTGAATTTCGTACGTACTTAATTCTCAAAAAAAATGGTGATAGGTTGTTCAACCAACAAATCAATTCATGCAAAGATCGTATATTTTCATTTGTAGTACGCACTCCACAAAATTCAACTGAATTAATTAAATCACCAATTTTGGCTTTTGTACTAAAAGTTGATTTGTGTGAAGAGTGTTCGCACCTTTAGGCAAGATTATTAAATCGAATGCATAATATTTGTAAGTATTTCATTTTAACAACATTCAATTACATTCATTTTTGTTCATATATCATTCATTTTCTAAAATAAATTTTTATTATTTTTTTAGAATCTATCTTCCGAAAAAGGCAGTTCTTGAATGATATGCATATTCTATCATATTTCAAACTATTGTTAGACAAATATTACATTTTAATTGTGTTGGTACAATTTTTAAACCTTTTTTATTCACCATCTTATTTTTACTTTTTCAATAATGCCAGCACGTGCGTATTACGAGTATTCACACTAGTGTAAAGCTAAACTATAATAGCCCACTAGCGCTTATGAGGGGAAAGCCGGAAAGACAATGTAGGAACCATGTATCTCTTCAGATGAATTTTTTCCTAATTTTTAGAGAAAAAATTATAAAACAATTTAACAACAAGTACCTATGATGCATGAATTCCATTTTGGTTTTTAGGAAAAAATTAAGAAATAACTAAATAATGGAAATAGGAAACAAAAGAATCATGAATTCCTTTCTAATTTATAGGGAAAAAAAATTAAAAAGAAACTAAATTGATTATAAACCTATAGAAACGTATCTCAAAATTTTAAATCAATTCACTTTAATTAAAGTGTTAAGAAATACATAAATCACAATTTGTTAAAACATCTTCGATCACATCTCTAGAAGAAGAATTGCCCACAAGTATGTATTTTTATCCTGGAAAGTTTTTTCCACGTCATACGGGTCAGTAAACATGAGTACTCATCTCGAAAACAATTATGAATGTT